TGTGTGTGTGTGTGTGTGTGTGTTAGCCGTCAGTCAATCACTGTGAAGAGCTCTCCAATTAGCATGGCTTAGACCAAGCCATCAAATATTGATTTCGATTTATGGAATATCTCCGTCTCCGATTGTTAGAAAAATTGATTTGCTTTTTTTTTTTTTGGCACTGACAAATTGTTAAACCCTTTTATTGTATTGGGAAAAAAACTATATACATATGTACATATTTAGAATCTTTTGTTTGTTAAATATTTATATGGTAAAGATCTTTAAACCATTTAATAAGTGCAACTAGAAAGTACTCCCAACGATAAATCAATTAATTGATTTTTATCTAATCGATTACCGATTAATTTTTGATTTTGTGATATCAATTGTTATATATGCCATTAAAAAGGCTAAAATTAAACAACAAATCCAGCTGCAATTGAATAATTAAAGTTGTATTTTTTATTTCTTATAAAATTAAGTTTCGATTAAATAATCGATCGTCAATTATAGTTAAAAAATTCGATTGTCTTCTCATCCACTCGCTTCACATTTGTTTGTATGTTTACATGTTCGTTTATAAATATGTATATTTCTTTCTCTTCCTCTCTATTTGGTTCTCGTCTTCGCTTTGTGCCTCTTGGTTTATCGGTTTGCCCGCTGTGCGTGCCGCTTTGGCCTTTTTTGGTCAACGCCAACGACAAATTCGTTTCATGCCCAAAACAGTCGACAAACTTAAAACGCATTACCAATTTTGGCCATGGCTAATTTCACATATTTATTTATATATTTAGTGTTTCGCCCTGCCTCCCCGAATTCCCTACCCTTCATTGTGACTGGGAAAGCAAGCGTTTGATCACCTTTCACACAAAAGTGGCCAGGATCCCATGGGGCGTATACTCGATATCTGGTTGCTACGGAAAGTTCCTTGTGTTGTTTGGCGGATATTTCATGAGAACTCGAGTGCAATTGTCTTGCATTTGAGTTATAATGTTGAGAGCAAGTCCTAAAGGTCAGACTAATTCCCCTTTTTCCTATTTTCGGATGTCTTTTTGATTGAATTTCCCGCCTGGACCGCTTGCTGGAAATTGTAATTATTGTGAAAAGCAGCGATTCCTTGTAAGAGAGCTTCCTGGAAGTCATTCAATTAATTTCAGCTTTACTGTGGCACACTTAAAACTTATTTTAGGCAATTGAAAATAAATTCGGTTGCAAGGAAAATATTTAAAACCATTTTCGTTTAACTCAATTTAAGGTTCATCAATTCTCTTTATAGCCTTTATTTATTCTGAAATGTTTACTATGTATATTTTGTGCAATTTATTACATTTTCTTTCCGTGCATGGTGGGCATTCTCCCTCTTTGTTGCTAATTTTAGATTTAGTGACGAGCGAAAATTCATTATGAACAATATATCCAATTTCTGCAGCATCCCACGCGCTTTTCCTTTGCCCCGCCAGAGTAACCAGGTTTCCCAGGTTGAGGCATCGGGGGCGGCAGGATAAAATAGCTAGCAAAACGCATGCCGAGGCACGTTAAGCTGCCCACTCGAGTCACATTCGGAGGAAAACTCCAGCGCCAGTGGCTCTCATTTCCTACCTCCGCCTCCACTTTCAGCAAGGACTTGAAGAATTTAACAAGCGCCTTGACTTGCGACCAAGTTTCATTCAACTTTAGCTGAGACTCCTTGGCCCTCAAGGCAAATAATCTGGCCAGGAACAGCAACAATAGAGACGTTCGTGATGCCACCTGCTTTGTTGTGTTTGTGGGTGTTGTGTTTGTGAATGGAACGTGTGCGTGTGTGTGGGCGTATTGGGCGGAGTTATCATGGGATTGTCTGCTATCTGGATTCTAATTCGGTGTGGGAATATCTGTGCTCTGACCCTGAAACGCCTGGCGACGTATTCAATTTGTTGCTAACCATTGCATAGCAATCAGCAGAAATCACTCAAATCTATATGTATTTCCAATTATGACTCATAAGCACCCCCCCCAAAAAAAGGTCATATGAAAAAAAAGGGGGAATGAAATTATATCGAATATATATTTATTTAGCTTTCCTGCTACTTTTAATCGTTAAAATTTCCTTGTGGCACGCACTTTGCTTATTTATTGGCCAAGTAAGAGCAACCTTGGGGGGAAAGTGGATTATTTATTGCCTTCATTGAGAATAGTTCTAGCATGAATATTTGTGAAGGTTGAAGGACATGTGATAGTGGAAATTATTGCCACCTGTTTCACGATGACTTGAAGCTGAGTTTCAGAAAGAAGTATATATATTTAAACTGAATAGTTTGCTATTTATATTACCATATTTACATTAATCATGCCTGAAGCATCTATTTAGAATCTTGCAACACTGCAGGAACAACTGTACTTTCAGTTACTCTTCATCGTTGTGCAACACTGTTAAAGCAACTGTACTTTCAGCTGACGTATTCAGGTGAATTTCATGTGCATTTATTGTGGGTGTTTTTGTGTGTGTTTTGGTATCAAAGTGAAAGTGGACAAGAAAACCCCCTGGAAATATTTAGGGGAGGGTAAATCCAAAGGCAAGAAAAAGGAGAGAAAATGATAAAGAAGTGGGGGAAATTGTTTTGTCGGGTGTGTGCGTGTGCTTTGTGATGCAATCCTTGACAGAAAAGGAAACTGATGGGAAGGACTACGAGGGAAAGGGGAACAAAGCGGCCCGATTTAATTGAAAATGTGGCCAATTAGAGATTTAACAGGAATTTATTGAGCCAAAGGCAGCAAGGAAAAGAGCAAAAACAGGATACATATATATTTTGTTTTTCGTTTTTGGGTAAACTGCGAAAAAAAAAAAAACAATTTTAATTAAATTTTCCCTCAACGTAAGCGTGCTTGTATTGGTTCTGATTGTGCGTTTAATTAAAGTGCATCCACAAACTGTGTTGTTTGTGGCATTTACCACGGTTATATTGCACTTGATGAGGTTTTTTTTTCTCCTTGCCTGCCGCACTGGCTGCTGACCCTAATCTGCACTGCTGCTGCTGCACTGCCTTTTTCTTTGCCTGTTTGCTTTTGGGGCCAATAAACTAAATAATGATGTCACGGATGATATACCTATACGAATATATATACAAAATATATACATACCAGGGATGCAAGTCATTGGTAAATGAGATAATGTATACTACAGTTCAGTGGCTCTCGAAAATATTGTTATTTGGATCACAAAGTTGATTTCTTTTTAACCCTAGACGGTCATGCTTATTTTTCCTACGTTAAGGTTATGCTTCGTCGAATCGACGACGCCAATTTTAAAATAAGTATAATTGTTAAAAAACAAACAAATATTGTAAAAAAAAAATTTTACATCGTTTAATTCAACATTTTAACTGTTTAAAATTAGAAATAATAATTCATTCTCATATTAAGAATATACTTAAAAACTAAAATTAAAAAACGACCTTTTTTCGATCTTTTGTGATTTTGCGTCGTCGAATCGACGAAACATGACCGTCTAGGGTTAAATTAGTATCATACAAATTCGAGTACTAACTGAAAGTATCCTGAAGTATCTATAGGAAACACAGTTTAATCGATGATTGTGAGGAAAAGGCTTAATTTTTGAATATTTTCCACAGCCTTTTCTTTTCTCTTTTCGTCTGTAAAAAGTTTTGCAATTCACCTCTGAGTTAAGGCAAGTTTTTCCCTTATTTTTTGCTTTTACATATCTCATTCGGCCAACGACGAAAAATGCAGCAATAAAATTTCCTCAACTGGGTGAAGGTTGTTGTCGTGTGTTTCTCCCCCCAACCCACTTGTTTCCTACCAATGTGGTCGCCGTAATGCTTTTCTGTTGGTTTACTTTACCTGGCTGATTTAAAGGGTGGCTGCTTTCGCCTCTTTACCAAGCTTACTTACATAAATAAGTGTTCCGTGTCATGTTTTTTGATATAATGATCCATATAGATCAAACGACATTCTTGACTCTAATTTTGAATTTAAAATCTATAGTTTTAAGATTTTTTGTAAAGTCATTTCGCTAGTTAATTAAAAAATAACTGGAATTCATGTCAATTGCAAGTCCGTTTTCTTCAGAATGTTTCTTCCCTGGAAAACTGTGGTCCATCCAATCCTAGGAATTTCTCTGTTCACTTCTCTGGCTTCTGCCCACGCGTGGCATTTCACAATTTTCCCCCAAATGCACTGAGATGCACAGAACTGGCAACGAATTCGTGAAAGATTTTGTAAAATATTTGTGGGTGGGTGACAGAGAGAACCCAGCAGCCAAAAACGTTCGTCAATGATATTGAAAACGATAGTTTTGGCTCTAAACAATAATAAAGTTAATCACCTGTCATGAATCCGGAATCCGAATAAGATTTCGATAGCGGACCTTTTACGACATCATTATCGAATATAATCCTAAGAATTCGCTTTACTTGTCCGCTATTCGTCCGTTTGCGCGTTCGTTTTTAAGCATTTAGCGAAACGAACGCGGAAAGTCCGATTCTTTGTACGTATTTAATTTTTTTAGCGGACATTTCCGCGGATCCATCCGCACTAAGTCTGCTGGGAAAATGTCACCTCAACGAGTTGCAAATTTGTATTCACAATTGTCACGCCAGCAGATTCTGGGAAAGATGTGCGCAGTTCGAAATGAAGGCCACTCCTGGAATTGGTTCCCCCAATCAATTAGAATTGTTTGAAAACTTCCAGGAAAATTGCATGCATGCTTCAGTGAAGCGTAATTTGAATTAATTTTTAGTTTCAAGGTTTCAACAAGACTTTTAATCTGCTAGAAGAAAGAAGCTCGTTTTATTATTAGTAATATTCCCGCTTTTATGGTCTTTTTAATGGAGCCTATTTCTCGGTAGCTTGGGTTATCGTTCGTGTATAGGCCGAGGCTGTTGATATAATTAATTAGCTGTGGGACTTGTGCATACACAGATTCTGTTATCAACACTTTTGCTAACTCGAAATAAGTTTGTACTCATATTTTTTTTTAATAGAAAATAACACAATTGTTATTCTTTTCTTTACAATTACAGGGCGGCTATCCGGCGCGCCTGAAGAAAGTGTTGATCGTGACGGCGCCGTTGTGGTTCAAGGCTCCATTCAAAATCCTGCGTCTGTTTGTGCGCGAGAAGCTGCGCGAGCGAGTCTTTACCGTATCCGTGCCGCAGTTGGCACTCCACGTGCCCCGTACGGCGCTGCCCATTCATCTGGGTGGCACCCTGGAGATCAAGCACGCCACATGGTTGCTCAGCTGCCGCCAATCGATGACGAATCGTGAGGACGAGCTGGCCAACATCGTGGGTGTGGGATCGGGATCGGGATCGGGATCTGCAGCAGCAGCAGCAGCGGCGGCTAATGGCACCGAGACGGAGGCCGGATCTACGGTAATCAGCGCCGTTCACCAGCTGGGCGACAACAATACCACCGTGGTGAGCGTGGTCAGCAATGGCGTGGGCCCAGCAGGATCGCCAGGAGACGCTGGCTCAAAGCCAGCTATAAGCGGCGGCGAACCCAACGAAAACATCACAATAAATGGCCTAAGTCCCAGCCACCAGCGTCAGGTCAACGGCAGCAACAGTGTCTCCACAGCTGTCAATCCACTCAAACTCAACACGAGTGGAGTGGCGGAAAATAGCAGCAGCAGCGGCACAACCAATGCCGCTGCCACGGCCACAACCGGAGGTGGAACAGCCGGAGCGGGCATAGCGGCAACAGCCGCCGGCGGAGGTGGAACCACAACCAATGGCGGCGGTGAGTTTTGGTCAGAGAATCCCCCCAGCAGCGCCTCGTCCGGCTTCAGTGATGACGACAGTCTGGCCGGTCAGGAGGGGGATCCCAAGCCCATCGAACAGATCGTGCAAATGGTGAAGCAGCGCGGTCGCACCGGTTTGATCAAGGAGTATGCGGACATACGGAATCGAGCGCCCGAGGGCACCTTCCTCTATGCGAGGTGAGTTCATTAAATGAAAGATAAGCCTCCAAGAGAAATGATCTTTTCCAAATCCTTGACAGAATGCGACCTAATCTGACCAAGAACCGCTACACAGACGTCCTTTGCTACGATCACAGTCGAGTGGTGCTGGCACACGAAGACGGCGATGAGCCGTCCGATTATATAAATGCGAATTTCGTCGATGGCTACAAACAGAAGAATGCCTATATTTCAACTCAAGGTGAGTTGTTAGCTTCTACTTCTGCTACTCTACGTGGATCGATCATTTGAACCGTGTACTTTGCAGGTCCATTACCAAAGACATCCCCGGACTTTTGGCGCATGATCTGGGAGCAACATTGTTTAGTTATAGTGATGACAACGCGCGTGATGGAGCGCGGACGCGTGAAATGCGGCCAATACTGGGAGCCGACTGAAGATAGTTCCTTAGAGTTTGGCAACTACCATGTGCGAACAATTAGCGTTGAGTGCAATGAGGATTACACGGTTGCCTCGTTGGAGCTAAGAAACATAAAGGTAAGTGGTCGATATTTTAAATTGATAAGTGTGCTAAAAATCTTCCTTTTCTTCTCCCTTTATTTCAGACTGACGAAATCCGCAATGTGTCACATTGGCAGTTCACCAGCTGGCCGGATTACGGCGTTCCCAGTTCAGCCATGGCCATGCTGAACTTTCTGCAGAAGGTGCGCGATAAGCAGGCGGAGCTCGTCCATGCCCTCGGCGATACATGGGCGGGGCATGCTCGCGGTCCGCCCATTGTGGTGCACTGCAGTGCAGGCATTGGACGCACTGGTAAGTTAAGAGTTAATCCGCTCCAGGTGCACAGACAATTAATACAATGTTCTCTGTTCCCGTAGGCACATTTATAACTCTGGACATTTGCATATCGCGGCTGGAGGATGTGGGTACGGCGGACATACGCGGAACCGTGGAAAAGATCCGATCGCAGCGCGCCTACTCCATCCAAATGCCCGATCAGTATGTGTTCTGTCACCTGGCCCTCATCGAGTATGCATACTCGCGCGGCATGCTGCAGACCGTTGACCTAGCCGGCTTCGATGAGCGCGAACAGGACTCGGAGTAGGCGTGCGAGTAGGATTCCAAGAGGGAAACGGAAGCGGAAACGGACGACAACAAAAAAACCTTGTATACAGAATAATTTGATGTTTTTACTCTCGCAAATCGGAGCTGTAACCTTTTTTGTACTAGATGAGCGATTGTTCAGATATGATATAATGATAATCGTTGAGAACAGAGAAAGAGAAAGAGATAGAGAAAGAGAAAGAGAAAGAGAAAGAGAGAGTAGAGTAACCAATTTACGTTAATCTATTGTATTTTTTTTTTTATATATATATGTATTATTACACATACCAAGCTATAGTTTGTATAGCATCATCTATATATATATATCTATATATATATATAAACATTATTTAAATTAAATTTAAACTAAATGAAAAACAAGTAGCTAAAAATAAAGAAAGAAACAAACAAAATAAACAAAAATAAAACCAGCAGGAGAAGCTGTTAACTAGAGTCGACAGACAATGATGATGAAGAATGGAGATGGTAAAGATGTACCTTGGGAGACCGGGACAGAGTACAACGAAGGCAAAGGGGACTGGAGGCCAACAACACCAGCGAGCCAAGCAAAGCAAAGCAATCCGTCCGTTGCGACGGCAGAGGTCTCCGAGAAAAGCAGAGAATTTCGTAAAGAGTATCGGATACAGAATCTTCGTGTGCATTTCTCGTAACTTAACAGCATTAATAAATAAAGGCGCAGAACGTGCGAAATTTCCTACAGCCAAGTAAGCAGCTGAAGCTGCAGCGCAGCAGCCTAACTAGTTACATTAAAAGATATATAGCAGTTGTCCCTAGATCCACACACAGACAGTCGGTCATTCAGCATATAGGAATATGTATAACGATATATATATATAAATAACAAAACGGATAAATCAAATTCAAGTCCTGTTCAATGTTGTTGCTTACGAAAAAAGACCCCAAAAGAAAACAAAGGGAGAGAAGATCCTCTACCGCCTTTTCTATCCCTGTCCCCATATCTTCCAGAAATATCCCCACCCCGTCGGCTGAGCTCTCTCCCCTCTTCCAAGCTGTTATTATTCCACTGATATTTGTTTCCCCAAATTAAACAGCAACAAAATATTGGAAACTGGCTAGTAAATAAAAGAATACGTATATCTAACCAAAGACCTTAAACTAACAAGATGCATAACGGCCATACATTTGACTTGCAAACTAGAGTTGAGAGCATACAAATTCGAGTAGGGTGTTACTCATCTTGCTATTATAAGATCTTTGATCTAACACCTGCCTTCTTCTCCTACAATTTTCCATATGCCAAAAGCGAATATAGAAGAATGGAATGGAAAACAAAATTGATGAGGGAAAACCAAACCAAACATATTTTGTATTACTTTTTTTACTAAAGAATAACAAACAAAAATGTCTATATACATAAAACTAAAAAAAAGAAAGAATAATACATCATGTAAAGTCCCCTGAATGGCAGCTTTCTCTCGAACCGAAACCAAACTGAATATAAAAATAGTATATTGAATGTATTAAATGTCAGACAAAATAAATGCATTTTCTTCATGCATCTTTGCGAAAGTATTATAAATATTTACATATATAAACATACACAATACACACTTATAGCAAAGTCAAATGTCTGCAAAAGAACTAAGATAAATATTTATTTGTTTTTTTTTTTGTATGTAAATACATACAGGTACACATAAAATAATAATATATAGTATTGGCCACATCCCCCCTCACATACATACATACATATATCATTAGAATTGTAAAAGCTGTGATCAAAACCCTAAGCGGAAACAACAGATTCTCCTCATCTCATGCACACACACACACAAAACACACAGCCAGCCAGTCAGTTCCCAGTGGACCAAAACGAATCATTTTCTATACCTTGAAAACGGATCGCTTGCGAGCCTTTAATAATATCTTAGGCAAGGCAAGTGTCGCAAAGTTCCATGAACGAGCTCAAGAATGGGCTATAACTGAACAATCCCGGATTTATATCATTTCCAAGTGCTTTTACGAACATTTTGCGGTAATTTCTTACGCTTTGGTCCACTAGGATAACATCAAAAAATTTAACATTACGAGACATGTATGTACTTACTCACTCAAAACAATTTTCAATTCTTTCAATGGCCTTTTCCAAAAAGAGAAACAAACAACCAAAAAAGACAAATGAATAAATCTATAAACGAATGAATAATATTCATCTCTCCCCCGATGCAAAGGATGCTCTATTTTTATAATGCTTGAGGCGACAAAATCATTAATACATACATATATTGATCGCATAAAGTCACAAAAGGATAGCTCTATTAATTATTTTTTGTAGACTCCAGGAAAGAATTTATTTAAAATATATATATCTATGTATGAGAATTAGCCAAATTTCTTCAAGTGTAATGTAATAAAAAATTTAGCTAGATTTACTACCACAAGTCTTTGATCACAAAAATGGGACAAACAGATTGTAAAAAACAAAAAACCTAATTAACACACAGCACTCGCTTTCAGAAAGCTTTGCTGCGCACAACGTCACACGTACACACACGTTAGACCGATCGATCGATCATCCAGCCCACCCTTAACCAATCTTGACCTAGATCTATTCGCTATCTCATCTAATAAGCCACGCAGCTCTCTTCCCAGCCTATAGTTCTTTCCACTCCATACAGCATGTGGCTATCACTCACTTGGCTAGGATAACCCACGATACACATCCAGCCCTCCAGCCCAGCCGAGACATTGTACATACACACACGGCAAGGATGAGTCCATGTCCATGTCCATGATCCACACCCACTTATATAACATACACACACACACATAAAACAAGGAAGTCTTAGCTTAGAGAAATGATCGCGTAACATTTAAGAGCATATTACATATAGTATGTTATCATTTCGCGAAGAGATCGAAATAAAACTTGATGTAAAAGCAAATTGCATTTTGCAGATCCAAAAACCAAAAGAGAAAATTGTGGATAAAATATATAGAAAACGAGATATAGTTTGTTTGATTTAAGTACGTAAAATGGGATATCATGATCAGGGTTGGAGTCAAAGAGATATTTTAAGTATTGAGCCAAAGTGTTATGTTTATTGTTGCTCTCAAAGAGTCAATGAGTCAAAGAGTTATGGTACTCGATTTAATGTTCCAGGCGAACAGAAAGAAGCAGAGGGAGAAATAACTTTGTTGCTCTCTTATATTAAAATCGTTTCTCTCGCATCGCTTGCTCTTTCCAGGACATCATCACACTTTTGACATCTTCTTGAACTCCATCTGTCGGCCAAAAAGTGAATTATTCATATACTTTTTCATACTTTTAGGCAGTGAGTTGATCTGTGAGCGCCTGAAATAGGGCAAACGATGAATTTTTACTGGTAAAAGGCACAATTGAAAAATAAAAAAATTAATTAATAGCCAACAGGAGGAAGTGTCAATACACGCACACTTTGGTTGTGGTTATGAATTATAATTGTTCTTACAATATTTTTCAAAAAGTGTAGTTTTCCAACTGAAACTCTGCCAAGGGCTCCGCCCAAAAATAAAAAAAAAAAAGAACAGATTGTTGCTTTTGAAGTAAAAGGCTCACATTTATTATTTGTTTTCAATTATAGTTAATTTGTTCATAAATACACACGCACATTTATTAATAATTCATTTAAAACAATCTTCAGTTTATCAATACATACATAAGTAGTTCAAAAAGCGTTTCTTCTCTTTCCTCTTCGTACTCTCTCTCGGCTTCCATCTCTGTCTCTGGCATGTCTATCGCTCTGTCTCTCTCCAACGGTGCTGTTGTCTCTGTCGTTGCCTGCCTTCCGTATTAACTTATTGAATAAATCACCAAATCTTTTTCGTTATCTGTTGTGTTTACTTTCGATTCGATACTAAATCATACAAATGTAATTTTTCTTTCAATTAATTAGCTAATTTTTTTTTGTCTTCTTTTTAATTTTATATATATTTTGTTTAATTTCATCCATGTTTTGTATCGTTACTTGTATGTAAAGCTAAAGCAACGCGTTTATTGGACCAATTTGTTAGTAATCGTAGGCAAAAAACAGCAGCCAATTCTTTGTATATTATAAATTGTAAGTAGATCCCATTGAGATTGTACCAAGGACAATACCAAAATAAGATGAGTAACGCGCAAGCCATTGCTCGCTCTTAAAATGTTAAGAGGGGAACAAATCAAAAACCAAAATCAAAAACCATTTGCATGTGAGAATATGGACAAATGTAAATATTGTAGTTTCAATTAAATTTGAAATATTAAAATTGTCTGGCGTTATGCATCTTATTAATCATATTGTCGTTGGCCGCAACCTGTAGTCCTGGGTATAAACATACTTGTCTGGGGGCTTTTTTTTTTTGTAAATTCAAAAACAATTTACCTTTTGGGTGGCAAGGAAGGACTCCAAAGGAATGTATGTATATATTTTTATATATATATGCTATAATAACTGACATCCACAATACGCTTCTAGACGAAATGCATACATATCTAGGGGGAGTGTTCAATTTTGGAGTTTGGAATTCGAGTTAAGGCTAAAGGACAACAATATTACAAGCTATTTAAGTATTGGCGATAGAATCTCTTCCACTCTCCGCTCTCTCTCTAGAAATCTCTCTGAGTTGAGCTGAGCCTGAGCAGAGGAGTCAAGCAACGGGATTCTTAGACTCTAAGTGGGAGTGGGAGTGGCTCGCTCCCAAAGTTAAGTTAGATCTTAGGGACTAATGACTGTTTTTGCTCTTGTTGAGGTAAAACTTGCGCTCGTATTGAACGGCGAACGAAGGCGAAGGCAAAAGTGTCTACAAACTAAGTAGCTAGGAGGATCCCTACCATTATATAACATAAATAACTATTCTCCGGAATTTCTCGACCATCTCGACTACAAAAACGAATCGAAATAAAGCGTTTCGGGATGAGGTGCAAGCAAATATCACGTTTCTCTACATCTCCCCTACTCGATGCCAAACGTATTAGTCTCCTCGACGGCCAGCAGCAGCTTCTCGTAGAGTAGCTCCGGCGTGGGATACGGCGGCAAGTCCAAACGATTGAAGCACGTGTGAGCCCGGGGCAGGGCATTGGGTTTTCCCCACTTTTCGATGCAAAAGCGACGCGGCCCAGTCGAGCCGCGCAGGGCCGAGAAGCCCTCATACGGTATACTGGACGTGCCCGTGACGAACTGCAGAAGCCGCAGGCGCTGTTCGTTGCTGAATCGCTGCTCTATGACCTGCCAGAACCAGATAATCACCTGGTGATTGTCATGGTAGCCGGAACGATACTCCGTATTGAGGCGCCAGTCGTTGGTGTCTATCTCAGCGGTACCCGCGATCACCAGCTCCAGTTCGCGGGCATCGAAAACGGATACCAGGCGGGAGTCGACCACCTCGTAAAACCCACGGACCAGCGATTCCGTCTGCTCCTGGACGCCGCGCTCCAGTCGCCACTTGATCATTCGCTCCAAGTACTCCTTCTTGTTCTTCTCGTTGACAATCATATTCTTGCCGCCCTGCTTCAATTCTCGCTCTACAACGCGCCCCAGTAGCTCCTCGGTGACGCAAAAGGTGAGGCCCAGGTCAACGCCAGTGCCAATGTCGTTGTCGCGGATCCATTGGAGAGACTGATGGAACTCATTATCCAGCGACTCCAAATCGCTCAGGGCCACGGGCAGGCGCAGCAGAGCCTTGTAGAAGGGTCGCGTGAAGAAGGCATCGAGGAGGTATTGGTGGACCAGGGCAAGGCCCAGCACCCGTCCGCTGAAGCGGAACCAGTCGTGGCAGTTGTCAACGAACGCCGACAGCGGCGACACCTGCACCGTGTACGTATCGTTGGCGGAGTACTCAAAGAGTCCGTAGTACGGGTTGAACAGCTCGCGGGATAGCAGGAAAAAGAACTCGCGAGAGGGTCCTCCATAGTCCAGGCCCTCCTCCGTGTCCCAGAGGACGGCGAGGCGACCGCGCTGCAAGTCCTTCTTGTTGGCGGACATGATGCGACGGAAGGCGTCCTCCAACAAGTGGCTGCGACGGATGTGCAGTCTGTAAATGGATTGGAATTAGAATCAAGATCAAAGGGTGAACCACTGCTGGAGGAACTCACTTGAGCTTGTGGGGTCCCTGGCCATAGCCCTTGGACTCCAGTTTGCGGTAAAAGCTGCGCAGCTTGGCCTCGAAATCACGACGGAACGGCGGAGGCGCCCGCTGTGGCATCCGGGAACTAAGAACCGGCGAGCCCTGTGGACTGCGCTCTTCAAGAGGAACATAGCTCATGATCTCCTGCTCGAACAGGCTGCGGGAGAGATAGAGCAGGGCAAGATTAGATACTAGTTAGCCGTGGAGCTCTCATAAATCTACAGGCCAGCCACTCTCCGCTGGCGTCCTTCGCACGCAAAGCGGGGAAATTGATTGCCCCGCTCATATGCTTTCCGATTGTCCGCGGCGCTAAGCCGACAATTGATTAGCCCCCAAACAACGGAATACAATAATGATGGCCAGTTATCTGGTGGGACAGGCAGGATGGATGCCAGCCAATCTGACCGGAGAAACGTGGGCCGCTGATACCGCCATCAAAAAGGAGATAAATGCGCTTTTGGACTTTGGATTTGGATTTGTAAGAAAGCAACAGAGGATATGTTTACATAAAGTTCAAACTAAAATATCGTAAGATATAAAACGTTATCCAGTCCCTCTTAGGAAAATTAACAGCTCTATATCTGTAGATATAGTAATTTTTAGAATATCATATAATAAAAATTAAAAAAAAAAATTAATAATATAAAACTAAATAAATTATCGATTTTTTCGATTAATAAAACATAATAATAAAAATTGAAATCAATCAATCAATTGAAATCACATCCATGTGTTATCGTTAGCAATAACTCAAAACTAGAGTTGGAAATAAATCGATTTTCATTGAATCGATTTTGTTTTTATAATTCTACAAGTAAATCGATTATAATCGAATAAAATCGAAAAAGAAAAAAACATTTTAAAATTACCTTTTTTATAAAATGTTAAAAAATGAAATAACATGGATTTTTACCATTGAAATTCCGGATATTCGGGAATCCTCAAAGATCACAATTTATAATAAAAAATAATAAATAAAAAAAACTTACAACTTAGTACTTAACTCTGCTACATAGAACTTTTTCGATTAATTCGATTTTTAAAATGTAGATCTATGTATTGCAGAATTTTAAAATATCGATTAATCAATTACAGAATCAATTTTCTTTCCAGCTCTACTCAAAACTTATTTTCCTGGAAAACTTTTATAAACAAAAGTCATACGACTGATACATCACTTTTTTCCGCTTTTAATAGATGTTACATATATAGAATGAAATCTTCGGACAAACCTCCTAACGCATCGAATTCATTGGAGATGAAATCAGACCAGAGATGATGACCAACCCAACGCCGCAAAGGTCGCGGGGCCAATGATTTGTCATATATTGCATCCATTAATAGTCGGGCGACGGTTCTTGAATCACTTGAAGAGCGAGCAGCTCAAGGGAAGTCATTCTCTTCCATCAGCCCAGTCTACCCAAAAGATTTCCCACTGCAAAAACGCGGAAGAATCGACAAGTTTCCAAATCAATGCAATCGAGCAGCGCGTGACCTTCGAGCCTAGAGCCCAGAACCGACTTTTCTTTCCAGACTTTAGCTTATCGATTATTATTATTATTGTTATATTAACTTTTTTCGATTCTAGCTAGTTAATCCATAATTTAAATTGCTTTTTGTTGGCGCCTTTTGCTTTTGCTTCTGGCGGCGTCGGCCTTCAACTTGAAAATTGAAAATTGGCCAATTAATAACGCAAATTATGGCGGTCAACCGCATTTTGGGTTGGGTTGGGTTTGGGGTTGGTTTACTGCTGGTGCTGGGAGGGGATTGGACCAATAGTGACAACAGTTTTGCCTGCAATTAACGCCCAGCTCGGAAGTGACTAATTCTGGGCTCATTAACAATAGTATATATATTTTTTGGCAATTTATTTGTGGGAGATGGGGAAATGGAAACGGATCAATTAATGGGTGTACGTCGTCATACATGTGTGTGCCGTGTCAAATTACTTTCCAAATTGAATTGAAATTCTTACAAATAAATTATTGATGCCAGATGGAACACAACAACAGGAAGCTGCAATTAGCGGGAATTCAAATTAAATGGGCTCGAAAAGCGATCCTCCAGTGCAAAATGGAGTGCCAAATCAAGCTCGAGTGTTTCACCCACAGCGCACAAAGAACAACCACCAACCGATCGCCATTGTGCGGGATTAATGTGCGATAGGAACTGGCCTTTCGGTAAGAAGGAATACATATATATAGCTATATACATATATATGAATGCTTGATGCAATCGTGGGCAGGTCACTGACTCTTTCTTCACCACAAAAGTGCGGATATATTATGAGGTCACTTGGCTGTGATAAAAGCTAGCTTAAGGCATTATCTGCATACGAATAATAGGAGAAGAAAACATCTGCTAGCTGGCAAAGAAAAACATATTAATTTCATTAATGAAATCAAGTGTTTGCCAATTCCAAAACGCTCTCTAGGAAGGAGATCTCTCATTTCAAACTCCCTTGCCTGAGCCCACATTTCACAAATTATTCAGCCGCAAGCTTATCAACTTTTTTATTATTTGAAAGGGAAAACATTTATGCTGGTCCCAAAAAAAATGTAAATACAGGCTAGAATCTGCAGCAATACACGTACTTCTCCCACATGGTAAAGGTGTAGACGAACTTGGAAAAGAGACCCATTTGATGATGGGTTGCTTGGGTTGTAAATCCCAAATGGATTCTCAATTAGCAGCGCACTAAATAACTGCCGCAAAAAGGTTAAAACAAAATAAAACCCAAATCACAACCGAAACCGACAGAAGCAGCTTTTTTGGTAAAATCGATACCAATCCCTGGGTTTCAACTGACTGACTGATTTCTGCTTTTACCCAATTCCAACTGCGAAACTGCAACGCGAGCGGCGAGCGGCGAGCTGCACGATAAGCTAATGATAAGAAAGGTGGCGATAATAATGGGGGGAGTGGGAGTAGAGCCTTAACCCATTTTGGTCACTACCTTTTCGGTGGGGGGTTTCAGGTCGTAATACTGCTTAAATGTTCAATGGCTTGTTGCTACTATCAAATATTTACGTAAAGAAATATATAAAAATACAAATACAAATTCCTAAAACTAAAAATCAAACTCTACACTTGAATTAAACTAAAATAATTTTTAAAAAATGTATACTCTTTAAAATTTAAGAGTATTTTATGTGAACCCTTTGGACGAAACGAAATCTAATCCGAAATCGTTACAAAAAGTTACAACACTCGAGTGGATCGATTGACCAACTCCAAAATACTAAACTCTATTCCTCAAAAATATGTCATAATGACGTAATGTTGTAATAGAAACGGAGAAGCACTTGAGAAGAGCACCGAATCCTTGAGACTCCTTCTCTGCCCCCCAGGAATTCTTAATGAGAACTGTCTATGCGGCATTCCAGCACATTCCTGCAACGTGGGAATGGAATGGGAGAAGGCTGCTGGAACCCGATCTCTGCCAGGCTGCATCCATGGATGCATGGGAAAAATGCAATGCCGGGCGGAATTGTAAACAAAAAAATTACAAAAACAAAAATTATGAATAAATCGGATGCAATTCGTCAACAGGATGTGATCTCTAGTTTAGCTGAGGCTGCACTTTTCTGATGGGAACTGCAGAAGTGGCAAAAGTAAATGATTCAAGAGTTGTTTCGACATGACAAAAACTAAGTTAAGGAAAGTGATAACAATAGTATTGAATATAAATTTTATAAATACTTTTAAAAGTGAGTTTTTCTTAGGTGCCAATCTACCTGAAACAGAGTCCTAAAGGTCTAAGCTAAACCATTTTTAAAGTCATTTCTAGGGTTGCTGTTTCATAATTATAGTTATAATATTTACAGCAAACTATTAATCCACTTACACGGCCCACACTATGTAGGCAGCCTTCGACAGAAAGCCCATTTTGGCGAGCGCCTATATCCTTGACGATTGCCAAATATTTAACCATCACTAAGTGAGATCTCCGGAGATGGATTTGTCGGAGTTATTGATATTTCACCACTCGCGTATATTGGTTAACGGTATATCTATAATGTTATACGGACAAACGTTATGTGTGCACACGCTCCGGCTGTTGAAATGCTTCTGGTGATGATAGATTCTCACTACTATTCCCGCCGACGAACGGAACGGAACAAAGTAGAAGCAGCGGTGGCGGCGGCGGCGGCGGCGGAATGAAACGGAACCGGCAACGGAGTCACAGATAAAAAATATAAAAAATATAAAAAATATATATATATTAAGACCGATCTCCCGACTCTCGCTTTCCTTTCAAGAGAAGTTGGTTAGCCTGGGCTCCCGATTTATGCTGCTAACCGATTGACCGACGATTGCAGAATGCTAACGCTTGTCTAGCCACTTGGCCGATAAATATGAAATGAAATTCAATTTAGGCGGCAAAGAAAATTATTTAATTATTTGCTGGTTCTGTGCCTCGGCCTGAGTGTTTCGTTTTGTTTTGCTTGGCTCTTTTCGCTTTCGGTTTGTTTCGGGCCCAGTGCTTATGTGCAAGGCGGCGGCGGCGATCGACGCAGTGCAGCGGTGCTCTGCGCAAGTCAACGCCGCTGCCGAAGACCGCCAAGCTGAATCCGGCGATCCGAACTCTTTTGACGAACTTCCGACGATGCACAGTGGGCCCACAAATGGGTAAAAAAAAAAAGGGAGAAAATATAACTAGCTTTTTGGAACCAATTAACACAATTACAATTTATTTGACATTTCTATATATTAAACAAAGTGCAAAAAATACGCGTACTTTTTGGGGGCTGTAATTTTTATAAGTTTTATATTTTCTATTTTTATATAGTTCGTTTTTATTTTCTTTATATATTTTTTGGCACTTTTGAGATGGAATATATATTAAAACGTAAAACTGGCTCCACTGTGCCACTGCTTATGCCATTACTTCGGGTTCGACTCGTGCTCGGGTTGCCGATATCCCCTTCTCCCCCAGAATTGAGTCACCCCATGAGGAGGAGTGCACTACAAACGATAGACGACGACGACGCCTCGCATGGCCTGGCAATGGCATTTTGGTGGGTGAGTGTGTGGCGTTGGTCATGGTTATAATTGTTCGCTCATCACTCCACCAACCGGTACCCTTGCCCCGAGTGACACGCCTCGAATTTAACACGCCCCAAAACATTGAAACGGAAGCCACCACAACAGACGCCGGCCACTGTCTCCACTGTGTGGCGGTGGACACCCTTCCTGCACAGAGAAAACACTAGCTGATCTTGGGAAATTTGGGAAAACTGGGAAATACTTGTAAAATAATAACAACATATATCAAAATAGATTCTCAAGTTGAGAATCATTTAAAAATATTATTAAATTTTCTCATTTTAATAAATACTTCGATTAGGAATATCCATTTATTCTCTCTGTGTGATTGAGACTCGCAACGAACGTTCAGACTGGACGCAGGCGCAGCCGCCCAAAAACCCATTGAACTGTAAACAAAAAAGGCCCAACAACTAAACGCCGACATATTCCCTTCTACGGGTCAAATTTTAATGGCAAATATTTAGTGGTTAGGCCAACTCCAGTGTAAACTTCCAACAAGGGAAAAGCATAGATTGGTGAATTGTAGAAATCAAGATTGAAGAAGCTCAGTTACCCTGGTAAAGGCAACATTCGAAAGATCTCAGAAGCGGTACTTCTCATTTAAACTTGCACAGACGTTACGAGAGTTAGAGCGGCATTAGGGGGTTAAGTACAATTTAGGCACAAAATAAATTAAAGAATTGTATATATACATATATATATCGACAAAAACATCAACGGAAAACTTCACGGACAGCGAACGCGTCCGATAGTAATGATGACAACAGCGACGACAGTGCCACACCCCCGCTTAGGGAGCGAGGGATGAGACCAGCCAGACGGGATCCAAATTGGAGTTGCTATTGTGCTATTTGTGCCCCGTTTGGCCAATAAATTATGCTTCATTTGGAATTGGGTTAAGTTGTGAATTGGAGACGGGGCAGCAGCAGATTAGTGCGCGCCTTGGTGTGGAGTGCCAGCTGCTTCGGCAGCTCTGGGGGGCGTGCCTGCCTGCCTGCCTGCCGGATCGCTCTCAGACGACTAAAGGCATATTCCAAGTCGCCCAATACACACTCTCCTTCGCTATAAATACTTTCCATTTTGCCCACTTCTAAGCCTGCAGTTATTTGAATATATATGTTTATTTTTTCAGGCAACTCATCAGAGGCATTTAGCCAACTGGCGAAATGTATAGTCTCGTATGGGATAGCCCCGAGAAGCCGTGTTTACCGACTCTTAGTCGGGCCACTCATTAATTGCTCATTGAGCCGCAACCTCACACAACCCAGAAGGGGCTGATAGCCGGTGGGGGTTACCTCACACGATCCACCGCCGAGTGCTGGGTGAGTAATGGCCAACTGCAGATCGTTCTGACCTAAGCCTCTGGGATCGCGGCAATTTCGCACTTTAAGTAACTTCAGGGAAACGTCAGGGAGTTTTTGCTGTGACTGACATGTGTGCTCTCGAAACCGATTAGTTATCTATTTTTATTAACATGCTAAATAAATTAACTTTTGATTTAGAAAGATTTTTACTATGAGTTGTTTAACAAAATAACCTAGTAATCATAGAATAATTATTAAACATTGACTTTCTGACTGAAATATATAATTTTAGGGAAGGTAGGAAAATCGATTGTTCTGTAATGCGTTTTATATTTAAAACAAAAGTTGTTATAAAAATTGAAATTATAACGTTGCTATGTATATATATTTTATCGATAAATGGATAATGTATTATAAAAAAGGTACTAATAAATAAGATACAGTTTTTCGGATATTGTTCGATATTTTATCGTTAAATGAATGCAAAACTGTATTGATAAAACTGTAAATACAATATGTAAAAGGTTGTTTGATGAAAGTGCACATTACTTTTTAATTATTATTGATCAGCATATATATTTAAAATTGCAAACTTCAGTGCGCCGAAGTTATGGTTTTCTTTCTAGTTTCTTAGTAAAATTTGCTTTTATTCCCAAATGGCTTTGTTTTCTTCGACTAAAGAGAGGGCAATACCAATCCGAAAATAAAGTTTTAAATATAATCTCTAGCATTCTTGTGAGTATTCTCTTTTATTGAATTTTTAAACCATAAAAATTTCTACACAAACTAAACACAGGCTCGAATCAGTTCTTATATTTGATTATATTATATTTAAGGTTGTGTTAGCCTTCGCAAAGGGATTAACGATCTTGAATTTCTTTAACTACATTTTGGGAGCAATATTTTATAGCATACTTTTGGAACCTCCTAAAAGGATTTAAACCACATGGCCATATCTGTGACACACTTTCTTCTGTAAGTCATAGGTTAAGTAATCACGAATAAAGCCTAAGAGTATCATCATATTGAAAATAAATCCAGTTTGAGGGAGATTTAACCGAGCTGCAATTTAACGAAAAACTCCCACGGCTCACTTTTGGGCGGGGGAGGGCCAATGAAGCGCGAAAATTTTGTCTAATTGAAATGCAATTAAATAGCTCAATCGGAATCGGAATTGAAATTGTTGGCGTCTAACCTCGAGATCTTGAGAGGCGGCGCCGCCGCATGGCAGAGATTGGGATTAAGATTAAGGTCAACAAAGCTAGTGCATGGGACTGCAGTTCCTTAATGTTTTGTGGTCGATTCCGCGCGATAAATGCATTTTTGACAACGCAACGCCACACGGCCAATTAGACAATAAGCCGTGGAGATTGGACGCCAAGTACTAGCCTTGATAACCGTGTGGATAGCTGGTTAGCTGGCTAAGTTGGTAGGTAGTTCATTTGCTTTGTGTTCGATGTGTTTGGCGTTTTGGAAAATTAGCCAACAGCCTTCGACGCGGCTTTTAATACCAATTAATCCCACACTCGCACACATCTAGAGGGGGCACTCAAGCAGGACCGCCGCCAAATTCGATCGACAGAACCAACTTCTAATCCAAAACCCAAGCGAACCAAACTAAACTGAACTGAACTGAAGTGCATTAATCTAAAGACAATGACGCATTAATGCCATTTCAGGCCAGGTGGATTCGCCCTGGCTGTGGTGGGGGGACCTTCGTCAAGTGCAGGTGGAGCTACCGATTGACGGCCACCGGTGCGTCATGAACTAGAGGGGCCATCTAGGAGGGGGTTCATTAGTAGTAATGAAGGCTTTCCCACACCAAAATCAAAGTTGTTAAATTGCTTCAGAATCTTAAGGTAGTTAACAGAGAGAGAGAGAACCTATACTGTCATTTCCCATTTAGAAAACCAGGTCAAAGGTTTACTCACCTCAGCAAAATGGTCAACTGTAGGTCATGGCCCAAACGCTCGAGAGCTGGAACACCCTCAACCCGCAGTATATTGATTTTCTCGCGCAGGGAACGGGACACTGTGTGCTGGCCCTGACGCTCCCGCAGGATCTCCAGGATGTTGGGCTGGCGCAGAAAGGCAATGACCTGGCAAAATTGAGATGACATACAAAAGAGTAAGTTGTATATTATGGATAATTCTGGATTTTAATCTTATGTACCTTTTCGTTGTAGGCAATGGGCACATCCTCATAACCGGCTGCAGTGGCTCCTGCTGCTCCGCCCGCTGCTGCCCCACCCAGGCTTAGCGCACAAGCAATGGCCGCTGCCGTGGTGCAGTTGTGACCGTGTCCATGATGGCCACTTCTCGACGACGACGACGACGACGCAATTGAGGGCCGGGGCGGTGGTAACGGAGGCACCCCTGAAACCGAGGAGGATACCCCTGGACTGGCACTTATATGACCACTCGTAGCGGACAGGCAATTGCCGTCCACCAGGTCCGGGTAGAAGTAGCCACCCACAACACCCTGCTGTTGATGCTGTTGCTGCGACGGATGCTGCTGGCGATGGCGAACCACCCGGGGACACTCCACCGGTAGGCGCGGATCCATAAACGAGGTGCGACGATGCTGGTGGTCAATGAAGAACTGCTTGCCCGACTGATCCAGCTTCGTCTCCCAGCAGGAGGGCAGTTCCCTGCCCAGCTGGGCAAAGGTATTGACCAGCGCCACGAGATCCTTGTTGTACTGATACCGCTGAAAGCACTGCGGATCCCGCCTTACGCGCATGACCATGTGCTTGAGCGCCGCATTCCGGTTGTAGATGGCCAGAGCCGCTTCATTGGTGTGCAGCAGCGAGTAGAAATCCGAGCGGCAGAGCATCAGGATGGCGGGATGGATGGCCGAGGCGGCGGCAGGAGGTGCAGCTGGTGCTGCAGCGCCATTAGCAGTGGCGGTGGCCATGGCATTGTCCGAGGATGGCAGGTTGTACAGCTGAGCCGCCCTGCTCTCATTGGTAATGGTCCGCCGGATGCTCTGGTACCGCCTGTCCAGCTGCTGGCGATGATGCTGCTCACGGCCGGCGGGTCCTGCGCTGGGTGCCGCACCAGGCCGCTGCCAGGAGGTTGTTCGCGTCGTGTGATCGATGTAAAAGATGCGACCGTGACTGTCCATGCGTGCCTCCCAAGCGGGCGGTAATGGTGGCTCTCCCGGTGCCCCAGCACCAGCGCTAGATCCCGATACCTGTCCCGCTCCGGGTTCCATTAGAGCTGTGCTTCCTGCTGTTGCCGCCGCCGCCGCAGCTGCGGCTGCTGCTGCTGCACTGCGTTCCGGAATGGAGGGAAGGCGCGTGCTACTGATGTGCACCATTTCATCGGAGGGCTCCGCTGTACCCGTTTCCTGGCCACCGTCCTGCAGGTAAATATAATCCAATTGACTAGAGCTTGGGCCGTTTGGATCCCCTAGGATTCCTGAGCCTGAGCTGGCGAGGCTAGAGTTGGCAGTGACGGCTTGAAGGCGGGCATGCCGCCGGGCATGGTGAGTGGGCGTAGGCGGACATATTAAAGGCGATCCCGCAGGTCCTCCTGTGGTACCTGCTCCGGCCCCACCGCCCACACGCTTGAGCAGCCGCTGCTGTGGACGATGGCCGTGGAAAGTGGGTGTTCCTGGAGCAACCGCCTGCTCCTGAACTGCCCCACCCACTCCGCGACCCCTGGTTGGCGAATGTTGCTCTGGACTCACGCTGAGGTCTAGGGGTGAGGCACTGCGCGTGGAGCAGCCAGAAGGAGGGCTTCTTTGGCGCTTTGGTGAGAGCAGGAGACGCGGAGAGGCCTGCTCCTCGGATGAACTTGCCTTGCCATTGGACAGGGCACGGGTGAGCGGACGGTGCTGGCGCAGATACGGGAACTGGAGGCTGTTGGGCGACGAGGACGAGCCGGATCCGACGCCCGAGGAGCTGGGAAAGCTGGGGAACTCGTAATTCTGGTGTGCTGGCACCTTTTGCGCGCTGATCGTGTTGATGTAGCTATCGGGGCCGATCTTCTTCTTCAGCAGCGGCTTAAAGCGAACGGGTGGCGTAGCCAAAGGCGAGTTGTTGGTACTGCCGCTGCCCTGGGCCAGCTCCTCACACTGACCCAGTCGCTCGTCCGTGTCTAGGATGTCGAACTGAAAGACGTCGCCCTGCAGCTTAAGATCGCGGCCAAGCGCTCGCGGCGGCCAGGAGCGTTCCAGTGGCCGATGATGGGGTGGCGACGGCTGACGGAGATGATGATGGTGCTGGGAGTGCTGCTGCTGCTGCTGGCGGCGCTGTACATGGGCACTGGCCTGGAGGGCAGCAGCGGCTCCTAATAGACTTTCCACGGCAGCCGCCTCCTCATCCTCCTCCTCCTCAGCCTCCGCCTCTTCGTCCACTTCGGCCATGCTAAGCGTGTCCACCATCTCAGCGGGCACTGTCTCAAAGCATTCGCGTGCGACCCAAAGATTGAAGCCATCGCCGTTGGCATTGGACAGCGTGGAAGGAACTGCTCCCGCCGTTACCGCCACCGGTGCCGTGGCCTTGGTCTTCTTTCTGGCCCCGCTAAGTGGCGTGGAGCCACCACTCTGTGGAGACAGGGTCCAGGACTTGCGACGGGCACCACCACCCACGCTGCTGCCGCCATCGCTGCCGATGCTGCCATTATAGGAGTTGGTGGGCGAAAGCGTGGAGCTATTGGCCGGCGTCTCGCACGATTTTGTGGAGAGCAAGGTCTGGTGGCGAGGCTCCTTGGGCTCCTTGTGGGATTCAAGGGGTTTTTCATCTTTGGAAGCTGAAAAAACATGTTTAAGTCAAAGGATTCTCTACAATTACTTGGCATATCTGACTTACATTGATCACTTGGGCCCGGCTGCTCCTGCTCCCGCCCTTCCGCCTCCTGGTGCATTTCCAGGGGCTGCTGCTCCTCCACCTCGCTCACATTCACCTGGACATCGTTGGCCAGAGTTAAGGCACTCTGGAAGGCCTGCTCCAGTTCATCGCTTTCGTTGCCGTTGCGCGCCTCGTAGAAGGCCTCCTTCGGGTCTTCCTCCTCGTCATCTTCTTCCTCCTCCTCTTCTTCGTCTTCCTCCTCCTCCTCCTCCGTCCCCAATGTGAGAGCAATGGGATCCGCTGCTGGTCCTGCCCTGTCCGACAGGCGACATGACGACGACGCTGCCAGGGGCGTCAGAGCCACTGGCGCTGCTGGTGGCTCCATCTCCACGAAATCCCCGAGAGTTTCAAGATGCGCTGCTGTTTTGCTTCTTGCGTCTCCGCCTCAGTCCCCCGTCCCCGCGCTCCCCGCCCAGGGTTACAGTTACAGCTACAGTTACAGTTGCTCTACTTTCGCGTTATTGCGTTTCCAGCGATTCGCGCTGAACATTTTGTCGCCGTCAGCCATGGGCCCGGTGCCTGCCCCAGCCGAGTTTCGTTCACTGCTTACAATGCATAGAGGCACTCGCTTTAGTTGATCAAAACTGTCAATTAAAATATAATAATAATTGAAATATTTCGGGGCACAGCTCCGCGGAATTAGCGTGACCGAATAAGCATAACGGAGAAAAGCGCGGACGCAAGGCCTAGCTGCAAAACGGTCACACAAGTCAGCCAGGGATGTCGCCTTCTGCCGCAAGTGCTTTACTCTGAAATTACTAGTATTTGCTAATTGCCATTGAAATATTTCTACAACACGTTATTTTACATCCCTTTATTAGAGTTTTCTGTTTGTGTTCTCCCAATAATCTTTTATAATTTATTAACCTGCTTAATCACCTGTTTTCCTAGCCAAATATATCGATAGGCAGCACGTATGCGCATATCTACCGCGTTTTTCTTCTTCACCAAAACCTATCGAACGAAATCGGAGAGATAAATATTTTTTGGACGCCGCCAGAAAAGAAGACGAGAAAAACCCGGGCCGAGAAAAACATCAACGGAAACGTAAAGCGTGAAACGTGAAACGTAACTTAGAACGGAAGACAAATGGCGGAATTTTCGGTCGAGCGCGTAGAGGACAAGCGGACGGTAAACGGACGGACGGAGTACTACCTGAAATGGAAGGGGTACCCGCGCAGCGAGAACACTTGGGAACCGGTGGAGAATCTGGACTGCCCGGATTTGATTGCAAACTTCGAGGAGTCGTTGAAGAACAACAAGAAGGAGACAAAGAAGCGCATCACAACGTCATCCACGCCCGAGTCCATCCGCAGCAAGCGCAAGAGCTTCCTCGAGGACGATACCGATGACCAGAAGAAAATGATCGGCTTTGAGCGCGGCTTGGAGCCGTCAAAGATTTTGGGCGCCACCGACTCGTCCGGCCACCTCATGTTCCTCATGAAATGGAAGGGCAGCGACCACGCCGACTTGGTGCCAGCCAAGCTGGCCAATATTCGATGTCCCCAGGTGGTCATTCAGTTCTACGAGGAGCGCCTGACCTGGCATACGGGCAACGGAAATGGTAATGGCAGCTCCGGCGGCAACACCGGCCTTGGCTCGGGCTCTGGCGCCGGTAGCGGCGGTGACACTGGTCCTGGAAGTGTTGGCACACCCGGAGGCAGCACGGCCGAAGGCGGTGATGACGAAGAGCCAGCCAGTCCCTCCGGAAGCATCAGCCAGGACCAAGAGACCGCCAAGCCTGAGGAGAGCAGCGAGTTGGGCAACGGCGAGGCCGATGACTAGTATGGATGGATCCGGATTACCGATTCCCGTTCACACACACACATAAACATATATTTGGTAGCGTAGTATTTAAGCTTAAAGATCGATTAATTGCACGTCCTAGCGAAGATCGGAACAGTGCAGTAGTAGTACCCTCTTAAACATAAGTTTAAAAGTTACATTTTGTTCCCATTTCTGTTCTCTTTTTTTTTCATTTTTTACCCCCGACTCCTGCAGGATAACGATAAATTCGCAGTGTAATATACAAATGTCCTTGTATGTATGTGTCGGAGGAATGCGAGTGCGGCGAAGACAAAGATGGCCCAATCTTAGGATCTAGGTTCTAGACGTAATATGAATTGTCTCCCCCTAAACGAAGTTTTGAAAATTGTAAACAATAAAGTTGCACATTTCCAAACTAAAATTTGCGATATTTCGACCATCGAAAGAGAGAGACGCCACCTGTACAGCCACAGTGGCTAGTTTATAGCCAGAATAAAAGAAAAGGTTTTTTCGTTGTATTCTTTTTTATTGATAATCATGTAATATTTTTTTATAAATACTAAATTTAAATAAAAAGAGAAAACAACAACAAAATGTTTTTAGTACTTAAATAATGGCGGATCAAAGTTACACCCCGAAAAAAGCTAATAAGTATATAAACACTCTTTAACCTTTTTTTCCGCTGATTTTATGGCAGACCAGCGATAACTGGCAGCAATCGATAGGATTTCGATAGACGCCGGCAAAGTGTAAACTAAAAAATATTTGCAATAAAACAGGGAATATATTTTATGTAAAGGGTTAGCAAGATGTCCCAAACGAGCTCCATGAAGCTGCTGGGCGCCCGCAACATGTCCTGCATTGTGGAGCGCATGGAGTGGAACAACAAGATGGACCTCATAGCCTATGGAACTGAGAAGGGTAAGCGATGGAGTATCTTAGGGAATTTGAATAAGCAGTTTAGTAATTCTCTCTCTTCAACAGGCGAGGTGATCATCCAGCGTCTGAACTGGCAAAAGATCGTCACATTTCCCACGCCCGGCGAGGATGTGCGTGTGCGCTCGCTCAGCTGGCAAATGGACGAGACCCTGCTGGCCGTTGGCTACAGCAATGGCAAGGTTGCGCTGTTGGACGCCGAGAGCGAGACGATTATCTCGGGACTGATCTACGAGGACGACATCAAGAAGGTTTACTTTAGCAAGGCCATTAATTCACAGGAGAACCTAGGTGCCTATCCAATATATAGACCATTGATTTTCTTTGTTATTAAACAAAACTTGCTTCAGGCACCTACACCTGTAATGCCAAGGACAAGCACCGAAGGTTCCTGCCCAAGCTACAGCCACTGACCAATATCGATCCCTGCCTTAAAACACTTGACCAGAAGTCCTTCCCAAAGGGATCGCCATGCTTTCTGGTTGTCATAATGCGCAGCGGCAAGGTGCACCTCTTGCTACTGGGAGCTCTGCAAGCCGGCAGCATCGATCTTACCCAGCACATCCTTCATCCGGAGCAGTTCGATGTGTATGACGTGCGACTGAGCGGTGACTTCAATGGCATTTATGCCTTGCTGAGGGACGGACAGGAGCTCAAGGTGCTGCACTTTCACAACCAGGTGCTGCAGGAGTGCATGGCGCCCATGCTGGAGCTGGCCACCCACTGTGCGCATATTCTGGAGACCAAGAAGTGAGTGTCATGAGTGGGCTTTAGCTTAATTTGTAGTTACCCTTGCCATGACCAGCTACATCAACGACACGCAGCAGTGCTTGACGGAGGCCTGGGAAACGGTTCAGATCGAAATGGACAACAAACTCACAAAGTATGCCAACTCCCAGCCATACGGCCTGATCTCGGCTCACTTTCTGGAGCTGCACGTATTCGGATTCGCCACATTGGAGGTTGAGGAGTTTCTCTTCGAGTAAGTTTGTACGTTGCCTGGTGGTTCCTTCGCTCTAGGCAACACCACTTCTCCTCCTAATTGTAGAACGCTGTCGGAGAAGGGCTTTAAGAAGATTGCCAACTCGGTGGACCTCAGCCTGAGCAACCTGCAGAGTCTGGTGTTCAAGCAGCTAAACGGATCGGCCATTAACATGTTCTACTTCCTCAATACGATCGCGGGATTCGGTCGCATGTCACACTTCTTTGAGGTGAGTTGGGAAGACATTGACAATCGGGTTATGAATAACTTATTAATTGTGTCTCCAACTTTTCCAGTCCCTCATCTCGCCGGATGTGGCCAATGAGGCGATGAGGGCATGCGGAGCCTTTGTGCTAAAAGTCCACGAACTGCAGCGAACTATCGACACGTTGGTGTACGATATGAAGCTCTTCCACGCCTGGATGATCTTTACAATACTCCGTCTTTCCCACCAAGAGATTCCCGATGATCTGGTCCTCACCGAGGATGAGAACATTGCCATGGCCGACTTTCTGTGCGCCATGGAACCGGAGAACGATGATCGCAGCGACGACGAGGATGAAGATGCCAATATACTTTCTGCCACACCGCCACCGGCACGCAGTAAATTTAACCTGGAGCGCGTGGGTCAGTATCTGGATAATACGTTCTTGTCGCAGCCATATCCCAAAGATCCTGGCCAGCTGTGGGAGGAAATGGTGGCCGAGAACGATTGCTTGAACAGCTGCAACTTGTTCGTGCCCCATGACAAGAATCTCTCGCTGATACAGCAACGGGACAAGATGTTCAATGCCATCGATGCGGTGTTCCACAAGCCCACAGAGAGCATTAGTGGCAGCTTCAAGCTGGCCTCGGCGATAATATGCGGTGATCTGCCACCCATGGAGCCCGGAGAGGGACTAAAGGACCGTGATTTTGTGACCAGTAGCTATTATGTTAACGAATCCTCTCGCTGTGATATGTTGGCGTGCACCGTTAGCTGGCAGGAGGCCATGATCCTGGAGATCAGTCGCACAGGCGATTGCCTGGTGCGGTGCACGAGGGTTCAATTGCAACCCGGCATCTTTACGGCCCCCCTACATGAGGACTACTATCACCTGCGCTTTGTTGACCTTCAGTTCTACAACGAGTCCTCGCTCTCGATGCTGGCCCAGACCACAACCTCCGTTCCCGGCATCCGGCCGCATAGCTACTTTGTGCAATTCTCGTTGAGCGCAGCGAGAAATCAATGCACCCAGCACCAGATGGGGCAGGTGGTCAAGCTGAAGGATGCCACCGTCACGCACAGCATACACGATATTGCCGATGGCGCCGCCTTCAAGGGATTGGATGGGGTGTGCGAGATGCTTGCCATTTCGGGCAGCAGAAAGGTGGCCACTGTGCTATCGGATCGGAAGCGTAAGATGACCATTTTCGAGATGGAAATCGAGGAGGAGGAGGACGACACCGAGATGTCGCAGGCCTCGTTTCTAGAGATTAGCAAGGATTCGGTGCTGGACAAAACAGAGACGTAGTATGCGTGAACATTTTTCAAAAATAAAAACATTCAACAGCTCTAAATATTCGTTTTATATCGATATTCGATAGCAAATTACTAAGCTAAATCGAATATATATATCGCCAGCACCTTTGCCATCCCTAATAGCGTGCAACCACGAGTCCAAAGATGCAGAAATTAAAAAAGAAAACAAAGCGTTCTGCGGTTCCAGTCGATATGGAAGTGGAGGATGAACCACAGGCAGAGGGCTCCAATGAACCACAGGCCGAGGACTCGGATGAGCCACAAGCAGAAGGCTCGGATGACGACGATGAAATGGATCTGACTAACTTCAAAGTCAGCTCCAAGAGCTCCTCGTCGGGCTCCACCAAAAAACGCAAGAAGGGCATTATTTACATATCCAATATACCCAAGCACATGAATGTGACTCGCTTGAGGGAAATTCTGGGGGACTTTGGAAAAATCGGCAGGGTGTATCTGCAGCCGGAAAAACAATCAAGTAAGTTGAAACATTGAACAATTGTGGATTGCATCGTTCACAGACTGATTTTTTCAACAGGCGAAAAGGCCAAGAAGAACAAACGGAAGCGCTACAACATCCACTTCACCGAGGGCTGGGTGGAGTTCGAGTCGAAGAGGGTGGCCAAGCAGATTGTCCCCCTGCTGAACAACAAGCAGATCTCCACGAGAAAGAAGTCACAGTTCTACGATTCGCTGTGGAGCATGAAGTACTTGCCGCGCTTCAAGTGGGTGCACCTCACCGAACGCATGAACTACGAGCAGGCAGTGCACAAGCAGCGCCTTCACACAGAGGTCTCCCAGGCGCGCAAGGAGACCACTTTCTTCCAGAACAATCTGGACAAGAGCGAGTTTCTCAATAAGCAGGCCAAGAAGGCCAAAAAGGAGGAGAAGAGAGCAGCTGGCAAAGGCGACTGATGATTTTTTTTTTTTATAGCTTATCGGGAAATATATCTTAAATAGGATTTAACAGTCGACAAACTTTTATTTGTTTTGGTTTTTGAATTATTTGTTGCCTCCCGCGCAAGCCCATCTGGCAACACCATTTAAATGCTTAGTATTTTTTCTATCGTTTCCGATATCGAGTTTATCGATCGACTTCCATCTCTAATTTACGTTGGCACTTGCAAATCTGTAACTCGACGCGTAATTAGGCAAAGTTTTCGCACAAAGACTGGAAGGCACATGGCCGGATCTCAGCGCTGCTGATCTGCAGACGACGCTTCCAATCGATAATCACACACACCGCCATCCATTCACGCATCCACCCGTGCACACCCGCAGCCACAATGGATCCCGACTGGCAGAACAGTCTGACCGAGATGAAGGACCGCGGCCAGTATCTGCTCCACTCGGAGAAGTGGGCCGACTGCCGGTTCCTGGTGGGCTCGGTGCCGAACCAGCGTCTAATCGCCGGCCACAAGCTGCTGCTGGCCATGGCCTCGCCGGTGTTTGAGCGCATGTTCTACGGCCATTTGCCGGACAAGACTGACCCCATCGTGATACCGGACGTGCAGCCAGAGGCTTTCGAGGCGATGCTGGAGTACATCTACACGGACCGCATCACCATCGGCAGCTTCGACAAGGCCTGCGAGCTGTGCTATGTGGCCAAGAAGTATATGCTCCCGCACGTCGTCACGCGATGCACGCACTTCCTCTGGGCGGACCTTAGTCCGAAGAACGCCTGCCGCGCCTACGAGTTCGCCAAGCTGTTCGACGAGCCGCGCCTGATGCAGAGCAGCATGGACCTAATTGCGGCCAATACTCGCGAGGTGCTCTCCGATCCCAGCTTCCTGGACATCGAGGTCTCAACCCTGATGGCCATTCTCGACCAAAACCGTCTCAATATCGACTCTGAGCTGGATCTGTTCAACTGCCTGCTCAAGTTCGCCAGCGAGCGGGGCATCCTGAACGAGAGCGACGGCGGGCAGGAGGATGCCGGCGACCGGGACGGCGAGGCCAGGATAGCGAAAGAGTCACCCAATGATTCTGGCGGACATGTGATGGTTGAGGTGATCAAGATGGAGCCCGATGTAGCGGCCATGGTGCAACACATGCATCAGGACGATGAGGGCGACAGCTTTGAGACGGACGCCGGCATGGCTTCCACTTCCACTTCGGCGGCTGCCGCAGCCGCTGCCGCTGCTGCTGCTGCAGCTGCAGCTAATGCCGCCGCCGCCACTGTCCCTGCAACTGCCTCTGTCTCTGGCTCGCCGCCCCTGGATGTGGCAGCCGGCTCCGATGACCTGGTTATCATCGATAGCGACGCTTCCGGCGATGCCGCTGCCAATATGATCAACATTATGGACGCCCAGCGTACCATTCTCGATGGCGCCATGCTGCGCCAGGCAGTGAAGAAGATCCGCTTCCTTACTATGACGCCGCAGCAGTTTGCCGAAGGACCGGCACGCTCCAAGCTACTCCAGCAGCACGAAGCCCTAGCCATCCTTATCAAGATCTCCAGCCCCACGCTCAATGACTGCCACATGCCCGAGGGCTTCTGCGTCTCGCGCAGCACCCGCAATTTCTACGAGTCGGGGCACCGGCATGGCCAGCGGGAGCTGCCCTCCTCCTCGTACCGTCACGCTGGCCCTGGACTTGCCCCGGCCGGAGTTTGCTTTCCGATCCCGGGACCGGCAGTACGTAGTGGAGGGGGAGGCGGCGGTGGCGGTGGCGGAGGAGGATTGATAATGGGCAATGCACCGCGCTTTGGATCCATCAGCGCTGGATTCGGCTTCGGTGGCGAAGACTTGGCCATGCGTGCCCCAGAACCCGTAGGCGTGGTGCCAGAGCCTGCGCCAGCGCCTGCCTCACTACGCTGCTTTGGCGATGCCTACGATGGCGGAGCAGCTGCCCCGGCGTCCGCCAATGATAACGAGGGCAATGGAGGAGGAGGCGGCGGCGGTCCGGCCGCACCTGGATCGGCTGCAGCTGGAGGGGCTGGTTCCGCCGCTGGAAACTCGCACAACGACATGGTGCGCGCTTACTGCCTGCGCTCCTTGGCCCGCCAGTTTGACTTCCGCAACACGAGCGTAACGGATGCAGGCGTTACCTTCCAGGTGGACACCAATATATGGATCCTTGGCGTACAGGTGCCCACGCGAGTTCTGTGCGGCGAGCTGATGACCTCCGCCGGCTTCACGGAGCGCTACACGGAGGTGCTGTACGCGCACATCCAGGACATGCACGGCTCGCGGATAACGTACACCCATTGCACAGCCCGCGTACGCTACGACTCGCTGCTGGACATCACCTTCGACCGGCCCGTGTACATCTACCGCAACCAGATCTATAAGATTTATGTGGTGTTCAACAAGACCGGCTGGTATCCCATGTACTCGTGCGTGCCCGACGCCAACTGTAACCGCGTCAAGTTCATGTTCAACGTGGGCAATCCCACGGAGTCTGTGCGCGACGGCCTCATCTATGCGATTATCTTCTCCACTCCGCAGGACCACAACCGCCACCTGGTGGACTGAATCGGTAGCAATACCCTAGGCCTAATGGATTTATGTATTTTCGATGTGATAGATTTAGGTTGGAAATCGATGGATCTGCAAGCTGAACTTTGGCAGAAAGTCAGCCTCTTCCGCAATCTTTTGTACATCGAATCGTATTAATTGTACTATTTATTTATTGAGCATACAAGTACTTTTTGTAACCGGAAAATAGCTTCATATCTCAATGTTTCTTTTATTTTTTTTTTTGTTTTTTAAGAGTGTGAGGAATCTTGTCTTGATGATCCTCCTAAAAGTATTCTCGTATAAAGTGTAATTAATTGTTCCTTTTCTAACTGGACAGAGAGCTAGATTTTCGGTTTTATTATATTGCTTCCAACGCGCATTTTTGTCGAATTTACGGTTTTTGTATCAACAAGCTAATATATTACGATTTACGATAAGGTAATTGGTATACTTTAATATTTAATAAAACATTTTGAATAGGTTTATTTTACACCACTAAGCCATGGCGTTTTGTGTTTTTGGGAAAACAGTGCAGAAGATATGGCCAAGATATAACAAGATGAGTAACGCCAAACGATTTTTTGCACCCTTGCTAGGTACCTATTATCCCTCTGAACTATATAAATATCGTTGAAGGAGTGTCAAAACTTTTTAACTTAAATCAATGATGCCTTTAAACGTCCCCCTAAACATAATTTCACTCTTTTAATTGCGTATTTTGTGCCTTGAATAAATGTACAATAAATAAAATTAACTTTATTGCGATTCATATACAAAGGAAGAGACCAAATAACAAAAAAAAAAGAGATTTAATATTACAGAAAGAGAAACATGGGGAGACGACGACGATGTCGGTTAAAAAGCGAAACTGATTGCGCAACATTTTCGGTGTGGCTTTGTCTTGGGCTAGGAATTCGGGACAGTGCAGGCGTGTGTCAAAAAGAGGAAACAGCAAATAATAGTGGGGCAGTGGGGCTTGAGCTTGTGCTTTGAGCTTTACACATGTGCATAGTATGTACGTATATACAGAGCGATTTGCGCGATATATTGCCTATTTGCCGTAGTTGGCACAGCCGCCGCTGGCATACTCGGGCTCCTCACAGGTGAGCGTGTGCTCGTCGAAGACCTTGTCCTCGCCGCAGCTAATCAGACGGGGATGTCCCTCGACGCAGGTGATCAGGCGGTGGCAGTCGCCGGAGACGGGGAAGCGGGGGAAGGGCCAGAAGCGGGCGGCCACCGAATTGGGATCCACCTTGGTGGGGCACTTGAAGCCAACAACAGCTGAAAGGACATCCAGTCAGTGGCTAATCTCTTAATCTCTTAATCAAGTTAAATCTCACCTTCGGGATTGCAATGGTCCAGAAGCTGATCCGGCCAGTTGCAGCCATGGATGCGTTCGTCGTAGGCCAATCCGGCATCGCAGTCCTGCTCATGGGGCTCTCCGTGGGCGCACTTGATGTACGTCGTGGAACAGTCCTTGGACACCGCATACAGACCGAACTGGTATTCGCAGCCGGGCGTCGAGATGGGAGTGGCTGGTAAAAGGGCAACCGGTTAGAGAAATGTATGGGAATACCAGGCTGAGGTGATTCCACTTACGATCCCACTGGCGACCCTTGCAGTCCACCGCCCAGTTGTAGTTGCAGTGATTGTGCACCGCACCCTTGCCGTCAAAGAGCAGCCCGTTCTCGCAGGTCTCCAGGGTCAGGGTGCCGTTGGTACAGAGGAAGAACTGATCGCAGTTCTCCGTGTGGGCATATGCCTGTTCGCCGTACTTCTCCGGGCATTCCGGAGAGCCTACGGCCAGGGCATGTCCTGGAAAGGATTAAGAAGTAAATTAAGAATTTATAGGATCGAAAAGGATACATTTTAAACCTTGAATTCGAGTTGGAATATATCGATTGGATTTAAATCGATTTAAATCGATCAAAATCGAAAATTTCAAAAATTTTCCTAAAAATTGAAAAAATCTATCAAGCAATTATAGAATCGATTTTATTTCCAGCTCTACCTTGAATTTAAAAAAGAAATTTAAAGTCTCTTGAAATTGTCCCAGTTCTTTTTTCAGTCAAAAGCTATTAACTATGATCTTGGTAACAACCTAATCTGCAAATTATTTAAGATCATCGCTAGATGCAGCTTTTCTCTATAAAATATTTATGATTAATTTTAAAATATAAAACCGCAGGGCATCGATTGTTAGACAGCTGTGGAAACTGTTCCCACCATTGTCAAACTCGAAACACAGTCGCAGCCGGAGCCGCATCCACTTCCTTCCTGTCTGCCAGTCCGTCTGCCTGCCTGCCTCCCAGCTCTATCCGAATCCGAATGCGAATTGCGAATGCCCCTGCTCAACTGGTTTTGGGGCAAGTGCAAGTGACGCCACCGCCACGACACTTTCGCGCATCTTCGCAACGTCTAGCGGCACTGCCATGCGAATCCCATGGAGCAGAGTGGAGCAGAGTGGAGCAGCAGTGGAGCAGTGTGTGTGGTGTGTACGGTGTGTGATGTAAGCGGACGCTTGGAATGCCGATGCCATCGAGATTGGGCGGGCAACGGGTTGATTGCCTGCCTGCTTGTCTGCCGACACTTTTCTCGAAGCCCACAGCCGAAAAGCCAAAGAGTGAGCCGAGGCTCATGTGTCCACAATGCATATATTTAAATCTCTGAAGATTTCCGGTAATTTGTCTTGCACACAAATAGCTGTCAATAGGTCTCGATAGAGAGAGCGAGAGTGTCATCGATCCCTAATGAACATGAAGATAAAGTCTCTGCTAGGATACGGTCAGAGATTCTAGAATCAGCAAACAGATTTCAGATTAAAACTGTTCTCTCTTAAATGATCAAGATCGATAAGCCGAAAACGTGCTATTGCTTATTCCAAAAATCTATTAAGTCCAATCCAATCTATCCAACCTTTTCGACTGGTCGAAACTGGTCGCGTTGGTTAACCCAGAACTAGATCGTATAATGTGATCGCTTTCAGAGTCTTTGTTTTATTTATATTCTTACTTAATTGTCAACTGGTTTGACAAGACCGAGTTCTACTTTGACCGGGCCTGGCATTTGCTTTAGTTCATTAGGCAGACATATAACATATATGATATAAGTTATAAGATATATGGTGCCCAGCACCAGCAGCAGCACCAGACCCAAGATCTGGCCCACACCCAAGTGAGTCAGTCCAGTCGGTTGGCTGAGACAAAAGCAAAAGTGATTGGAGGATTGGTGATCGTTGGATTGGCACCCGATCTGCATGCCAAATCAGCTATGGATATATCGGTATCAAGGGGGTCGGTGGCTCAGGGTTAAGTGGAGCAGAGTGGCTAATCTGTGGACTTAGCCTTCGGTTAGAAACCAGTAATTAAACTGAACTTTTCTAACCACTTGGCACCACCCTCCTTCTCCTTCTCCTCCTCCTCCTGCGATTGCAATGGAATTTATTTCGTGTTGTTTTGTTTTTTGAAATTTGTTCGATTTTTGAAAGTAAAAGCTTCGTCGTAAAAACCACACACGCGAGGCAATCGAAAGGTTGCGCTAATTGGGAGTCCATTCCAAGGCCCTATTTGGCCATTGGGTAACCACTTGGCCACTTAGCCACCATCACTTACCGCTGGCTAAGCAGGCTGCCAGGACTAGGACACTGCACAGTTGAAGTCGCTGCATGTTTCCGCTAAAAACAAAGTAATGGAAAAGCGTGGGTACGGCCGGAAATGCGAAATGGGGGTAAAGCCACTAATGGAAATGCAGCACACTCGCGGAAGACACCGAAAAAAATGACAGCTGGATGTATTCAAATATACAAAACACTTGAATTCAATCCCAAAAAAATAGCAGAAACTTCCTCCGCTGGGCACGTTTCAACGGTTACGCGTTCCAAACTCAACTGGAAAGATTTATGCCGCGCTCAAAGAAGAAGAAGCAGAAGAAGCAGAGCAGCGACTGCGCAGGCGCAGCGTCGCACGGTGGCGACAGCAACCACACACACATACACAGAAATAACAGCAAAACAAAAACCCCAAAGCAAAGCCCCCACAACCAAAAAAAAAAAACAAAAAAGCAAACAAAAACGAAAACAAAAACAAAACCCCTCAAAGGCGAACCAAAGTTTTCGCAAAGCTTTAATTTTTGTTGGTTTTTCAATGGGGGCGTTTGGGGGGGCGTTTTGGGGGTGGTAAGTGAGAAGCAGGAGGGGGTGGAGCAGCTGAAGTGTTGTCACTTGTTGCTTGGGCTAACATTGTAAGTGGGATACAAACTTAGCTATTTTTTCTTGGGTTGACTTTTCCATAATTACAGTTTTTTTAACAGAAATATTTAAAGATATAAATATATAATTAATAATAATAATTAAATAAACAAACAATAATAATTATTAATATTATTTATTATATTTATATATATTAGTTGTTAAGCTTTAAGAAAAAAGGCAAAAGGTAATCATTGTCAACGTTGCGTATGGGTAATAATTGCGTATGAGTAATATTAGGTGTTGATACAATTTATATATTCGATTTTGAGAACTATCTTTTGTGATTTTTAAACTTAAAAAATTGAAATTTTATTATAATCATAAATTAAAATTATTACAAAATATGTGGTTACAAGTTTGATTATATTATTGTTTAATCACCACGTTTTATATTAATTTTTGTCAAATTTTTTCTAATATTTGTTTTAATATCTCTAAAATTTTGTTATTTTTAAAAATAAAATTTTAATTCTTTGATAAGAGCATTGTTGCCTTTTGAAAACTTAATCCATCTGCTTAAATATTACTTAAAAAACCCTAAACCTTTTTTCTCTTTATAAATTTAAATAAATAAATTCAAAAATCATTCAATCATATTATGATTTTACTGGAATTATGTAAAATATATAAAATAAAAAATATTCATTATAAATAATAATCTTAATTAAAAACCTCTCCCCAATTTATAGATTTTTAAACATCTAAATTATTACAGTATTTTTTACCAAATATAAAAAAATTACAAATTAATTCAGACTGTAAAAGAAAGATGACATACTTTTTATAAAAAATATTTTCCTCAAAAAATTGCCATAGATTTAAACTTAATAAACCTAAATTAAGACCCCCTTGCTAAAGTTAAAGAACACAACAGACCCAGAAAGGACTTGTACAATTTTAAACTATTATAAAACATTGACTTGTAATTAGATTAAATAATGTATCTCAAACTTAACTAAGATATTTTCGTAAACACATTTTCCTAGGGGCTCTTGGGAAAGAAAGAAAAAAGCGCCAAATCCGGCTCTGAGCTCCACTGGCAGCGTGTGTGATTGAAAGTAAAAGGCAAAGCTCGCGCAGCCGTAAGCTTCATTCATGATTGGGTCCCGTTGGCCGATTACCGTTACATTGTTAACTATTGCAAAACTTTGCTGGTGCTGCGGCTGCGCCGATTGCATAACACTTCTCCGCAGCAGCAACAGCAGCAGCCGCAGCAGCCTTTTTACTTCATTTCATTTACATGAGTTGTGCTTTGCTTTGGCCAAACTCTAGCGGGTAATTAACGACTCTTTGTCCGCTGGCCAAACAAATGGACAATTGGCCAAGACAAAGGGCTAATGGATCGATAGCCCCGCCGATGTCCGATGCGTGCAGAGTGAAAGGCTGTCGATCGAACGGTTGATCAATCACTCGCATAGACACACACACACATTTCCCAAATGAGATGCACACGCTAATTTTGTATAGTTTGGAAATCATGGTTTAATTAATTAAAATTGGGATCGATTAAGTTGTGACTTACGAAAAGGTGGATTTACACACTTGGCACTAAGAATAGTAAGGAAATCTCTGGTCAATAGATATAAAAAATGTAAAATAGATTTTTTTGGGACAGTTTTTTTCAGTCTAATAGAAAAAGAGTATTTAAAATAGGGACTTATCACTAGGATATATCAAAATAATATCAAAAGAGTATTTAAAAAAGTAACTTAACATTCGAATAATTAACGGAAAAATAGTTAAAGAAGTGAAAGAACAGAAATTAATTGAGTGAAAATATCATATTTTACAGAATAATTAGAAAAGTAAACTGAAGTTTAATAGGAAAATAATTATTTTAAAGAATAAATAGAAGAGTAGTTTGAATTTGCATAGTGAAAATAAGTTACATGAATAAGATATGTGCAGGATAGTGAAAATAAAAGATAGAATCAAAAACATATAGTATTAAAAATTATACAAATATTATTCAGAGAGCTGTTTTCTTAAGAAGACTTGTCTTGGGTAATATTGAAAATGAAATGGGAAACAAATGCAATAGAAAACAAAAAATTATGAACAAGAAAGAAAGATAATAGTCAGTTAAGTATAACACAAATTAAAAGTAAAAATATATGTAGAAAATCTATTAAAATATTTTTAGGCAATTTAAGAAATATATTATCAGATATATAGATAAAGATGCAAGATTGCGAAGAAAGAGATAAGCTGAGGAACACAAGATTAAGTTTAATAAATATAAGATAGATTTATATGATAGTTGGGGCTTAAAATAAGAGAAGCAGAACATAGCAAATATATTTTAAACATATTTTAAAAGAGGCTAGAAGAGGGAAAGATAGATAGATAGATTGATAAGATATATAGATAGATAGCAATAAAGTATAGTTTATAAAAAAATCAGTTTATTCTTTTGTATAATAATTAGATGAAAGTCAGAAAATGGAAAATATATACACAGCGATTTGAAAGAAAATTCGGTTGGGCACACAGAAAGTGACAGGTAGAGACAAGGATATAGATAGCTGAAAGATTAAGGAAACATAATAGTAGAGCGACAGATAGATAGATAGATAGATAGATAGATAGATAGATAGAAAGATAGATAGATAGAAAGATATAAAAAAGACAGTTCTCTTTAGAAAGTAAGAAAGACAGACACAGTCAGAGAGTCAGAGGGTAAACAGAGTATTCAAGTTTAACTGCTACACGTACGTTCTATAGGAAATGGGCTAGAACTACTAACTTTAAGTGACTAAGACGCGAATCTGTGTTGTTTTCAGTGTATGCGTGCTTGTGTGCATGAGTGTGAGTGTGAATGCGATGAGGAGTGGGGGCCAGAGATGCTACTCCTTAGTCCTTCTTGTCATCCACATCCTTGTACCAATCCTCACAGCCGGGCACATTCTCTGGGGCATCACACATTTCGGTGGCATCGTTGTAGACCTCGCCCAGTTGGCAGCCCAGATCGCGCGGATCCTCACCGTTCAGGCACACATAGAACTTCTGGCAATCGGTGGGATGCGGGTACTTGGGATGGGTCACCACCTGGCCGCGATCGTCGGTCTTTGGCTGATCCTTGGGGCACACAAAGCCGGTCTCTGAGGTTCCTGTTAGCGAAGGAGGATGTTATTACTGTCAGTTCTTGTCAAGAGTGAAATCCTCAGATCTAGGCACTTACTCTGCTCTGGATTGCAACCCTCACGCTTGGCGGTGTCGGGCCACACACAGGTGCCCGAGTACTCATCGAAATGCAGGCCCACGGTGCACTTGGTTTCCAGGGCATCGCCCTCGATACAGTTGTAGAAGATGTTGCATACGGCGGGATCGGGATGGGCGAAGAAACCGTTCTTGCGGGGGCAGTACTTGCTGGATTTGGGTTCCTCTGTAAATGCAAATAATTAGGATAATTTGTTAGATTTTAAATTTAAAGTATAATATTTATAAATATTAATAATAATATAAAAAATAATGTATATATGTATATGTTTATGGAATAATAATATACCACTAAAGATTCTATTCAGATCCTTATGGATAGATATAGATAGATAGATAGTTATAGATAGAAAGATAGATAGATAGATAGCCTGATAGATAGTTAGATAGATAGGTAAATAAATAGATAGATAGATAGTTAGATGAATTGATAAATAGAGTGGATCCAAAGTTATGCCAAATCTGAAAACCAGCTATTTTGCTAATTTTTGCAAAAACTATGCGGAAATGAATTCCAATGAATATAATTTTCATAAGCTTTCTGGAAATTAGGATTATGGGCATATTATGATCTAAGATAATAAACTACTTTAAATTCAGATTTATATATCTCTAATAAGTAAATATTAAAAAATAAATTGAAAACTTTTCCAAGATGAAATTGTAGGAAGGAATAATAAAGTTTTCATTTAAATTGAACATAAATTAAGACCAAAGATTCATGTTTCAAGTTCCCCCTTAATTTCTTAAATGAACTTTGCCTTGACATATTTCCGTGGAAACAGGTTTCCCCCCACCCCCCCTCCGATAAAAGGATGTGAAAACTTACGCAACTCCGTGCGGTCCTCGCAGTCGACATTGAAGGGCTGGTCGCACTTGTTGATCTTGCGGTTGAGGGGATCGAAGACCAGGCCGTCGGGACAGAGCTTCGCCTTGGCCACGCCCTCGTCGCACACCCAGAACTTGTCGCACTGCACCTCGTCGGCGAACTGGCCGTTGGGTTTGGGGCACTCATAGTTGTTGCTGTTGGCACCGGACACGGCTAGATAGAGAGGGAGAGAGAAGGAGGAGAAGAAGGAGGCGGTCAATCAACTTGTTTTCCCACTTTCACTTTCCGAACGCCTCAATCACACACAGAAGTGTAACGAGATCGAACACTCAATTTATCGATGGCAATTCCGCATTCGCGGTTTCCTGCTTGCACTAACGGTAAACAGTTAGCGATGGACTTTGAGCGATAGAAGGATATTGTCTTGGAAAATGGTACAGTAGGCACAGAAAATATGAATATAAGAACGATGGCTCAACTTTATAAAGATAATACAAATATAGAAATGGAGAAGAGCCAGAAAACTTATATTTTCTTATTAACTTTTGTGAATTCTATATTTAATCGTAAATCAGCACTTTGGACATTATTATTTTTTGCATCTGTGAGATTTAAGGATTTTGGCTTTTTATTCACAGTAAAGTAAGCAAAATAAGCTTGTTATTTGGTTTAATAAAATCTCTGTTCCGGAAGGGTATCGTTAAGAAGAGATTAGCTTTAAGATTAATCTACTTTTCTGGTTATGGGAGAGTAACCGTTCCCAGGCTTAACTCCGCTCAGCTCTAGGCCAACGAGTTGCATAACCAGCGGCCCAGACAGACATACAGGTCTTGGGCTTGGCCAGCTTTCCAGTTTTGCCAGATGGAGGAGTGGACGCACAGAGAGTACCATCCCAGCCGGTTTTGCATCTCGTTTTTTTCGATCTGCAACCGAGACTCAATTTTAGGTTGGGTCGCAGTCTTAAAACAAGTCTAAATGTCATTAGCCAAAAAGTCTTGTTATGCAAAAATAAAAAAAAAATAAAATACATAAACACAGTGTACCGAAACATGCTTGGTTTCTATCTTTTTTCTTTTTGTGTCAGTGTCAAAGCAATTAGCAACAAGTTGCGATTTCTAAGCAGCAGCGGATTGGATCACAGATCGAAGATTATTTCCAGATTTACACTCACTTGTTGCCACACATAGCGTCACGGCAATGGCACATAAAAACAACTTCATTTTGGGCTTGGTGCTGATCCCCGGTGGCAGAAAAAAAAATGAAACACACGGAGACGATCCTGGAGCTGGGAACTTGAAACTCTGGGCCTCTCTGATCGCGACCCAAGCGCTGCGATGGTTAAACTAAACTAACAACGGAACGCCAAAGAGGCGCACTTTTCAAGACTTTTTGCCGGCTCCAAACGACGTCGACGCCGCCGCCAACAGCGGCAGAGCGATGGCAATGGGAGGGGCACTACCACAACGGCCATCGCCATCGCCTTCCCCCGTTCACAGCTGGAGCTGTAGCCAGAGCTGGGACTGCGACTGCGACTGGGACGGAAGTCTCGCACACTTGGCCTGGGCGCAGGCGGCGAAGAAAGGCGTGGCCGAGCTCAACCGAAGATGTAATGGCACTACAACTACACAAAAAAAAATAAGGCAAAAAAGTAGCAGAGAAGAAATTTGGAATACTGGTGGAGGTATACTCTTTCTTCTAATTAAGATTCTCACAAAGGGGTTTATAATTTTTCCTTAATAAATACATAGATAAGATGTGTTACCCAGAGACCCAACTTGGGAGAAAAATCCTTTGCTCAGCCTCCGTTTACAGTGTAATTTTTACACCGACAAAGCACGATCTTTCTTCAAAAAATGTTGTTTTAACATGGCCAATACTGCTCTAGAACGTTTCTTAGCGATTCGAAACTCTAAAACTCCTAAGTTATAAAAAAAAAAACAAATCTTAAGTCATAAATGATCTTGTAAACCAAAAGCTTGGAGAATTTTCACTTTTGACACTTTTGGGGCCTAGAGGGTTAAGCTTATCAAGTGTTCAGCAGGATCTCCTGCCCAGGTAGGGTATTACCGGCGATCAGTGTGTCGATGTGGCCGAAAAAGCGACACCCGAAACAGCGAAATGAACATAAACAAATTCATATGCGGCAACGCTCCCCGGGGCCTGATTGTGAGTTGGTTTGATGAGAGTTGATTTCGGTGCTCGCTCGAGTTGATGGGCCGCATGCAAATGACTCTTTACAGCACACACAAAAAAGACCGTAAGAAATTAAGCCAAAAACGGACACATCTGCAGCTGCAGGCAGGCAGAGAGAGAGAGAGCAAGGACAAGAGAGGTGTAGCCTTGAAGAGGACGACGTGGCTTTCATGGATGGAGGAAAAGGGGAAAATAAATAAATAAATAAATGTTCCGCCTTAAAGATATATATTTTTAATGTTATATAATTTGAAATACATTTTGTATTAAGAAGTCATGATGACATGGCAGGGCTTTAGCCACTTCCTCCTCCGATTCTGATGACGTCCATCCCATGGAACAACAACTGGAGGAAAAACTGTGTCACATCCCGATGGGGGAAGCTAAAGAGCGGAGTAAATGCCGGTAATATATGTACATAATATATGCATAAATATGCTAAACACACCACGCAATGCCCCAAAAGCCGCTGTCCTTGGGAGATGCGATCCGAGATCCAACTGGCGATCTTCGAGATGCGGCAAAACCAGACCAGGTCTGGAAACTAGTTTAGGTCCGCGCGACACAGCGTGGCTAATTAAAAAAGAGACACTTTTACTCTCGCCTCGAGTTGGTTCTCGGAAGCTTAGAAATCTGAAATTCAATTGGCAAATTAATTTGTAAACTAAACACGATTAAATCGCAACGAGCGGCGTGCGAGTGTGCGACTGGTTTGGATTTGGTTTGCAATTAGCGAAAACAAATAAAAAATGAAATACAAAATACAAAATAATAAGAAAAACGCCGCTCATCGGTTTGGCAAGATGTCGGTTGGTTGGCTGGTTGGTTGCCGATTTATCAGCCTGGAGCCCCAAAGCAGTTAAAGATTTGGCAATTCAAGGTTTTTACTGCAACATGGAATCGAATCGGATCGGATCCAGTCCGGTTTATCACTGCGGTTACGACATGGAGATCCGAAAGAGCGCCTTCGTATCTGCATTGGTAATATACATATTCGATTCCATTCCAATCCAGTTTATAGGTCGTCAAATGCTGGCTTTTAAAATGCAGATGCGCCCAGGCCAAACCAAAAATAAACCCCCAAAGGGATCGATCGATCGGAAACGTTGCCAGCATTTCTTTGGCCTTTTCTCCATGGTTTTTTGGGGTCGGGTCAGAAAAGCAATCAAGAGGTAATTGCGAATGTAAAAAAAACAAAGAGGTTATATACACACACACACACCCTAAGGTGTATTAATTACAGTTAAGTGCAGCCACAGCTGGTGTCATTGGTGGCATAAATTATAGAAAGACAAATCATTTAATTGCGCATTCTCATCGAGCTTTCTATTTCCACGACGACGGGTTCTTGGGATTTCACTTGCCGGCGAACATGCACTGCATAGCAAAATTAGCCAACCAAGATTACTAATAGAGTAGGTAGAGTTGATTAAAACAAATAATTTTAAATTCAGTTAACTACCAATTTGAACAATATGCCATGCATTTCGATTTAATAAATCTCTTTTGGTAATGGAACCACGTTATATGCTCAAAAAAAAAATTTCATCTTTATAAGTATATTATTTATGTCAACTCATTTTTAACTTGACAAAGAAAATATAAATAAAAAAATAAATAAAATAAAATACAATTTGCTAAAATGTAACTTAAAAAAATAACCTTAAATAATTTAAATGGCTTAAATAATTAGAATTTATTTGCAATCTGTAAACTATGTATTAAGAGATAAAGAAACATATTGAAAGACTTTCTCAGAAAAAACTATTATTTGATTTAATTTGAAATTTAAATTAAAATCAATTTGACATTTTAATATCACAAGACAGTAATATTATTTTGTTTTTAACTTTTGAGTATTTCTCGAAAATATAACAGTATTTATTCAAAATGTAACAGGTAGCGATAGTTTACAGTGTGCTGTTGAGCGCAACAGTGCTACCAGAGCATTGGGTTAGAGATGAACAACCGTGAAAGCTAGATTCTGAACCAAAATAAACTGAAATAAGCTAATTATAAAAAAGGAAATTATTGCTATACGTTGATAATATTTTTAGTAAGTAATTCGTTAAAGAAAGAAATTTGGAATAGTTTATTGACTTAGTCAAATTTGGGTAAATTTTTAATGAGTGAGCTTAATTTAATACCCGCTAGCCGCCAGATCTAGCGGGGAAATATCGACTATCGAATATATTCGACTATCGCAATCACGCCAGCTGTTACCTGTTATCTCCAGAATACACAGAAAAATCCCAATTTGGAAAGTGGCTTTTTGGGGAATCTGCATAGTTTCGAGCACTGACTTTTCCTACCCGACAGGCCAATTGGTCGCCTTTAACCCAGGCGGGGCCTTTTGCCACTTTTCGCCGCCGTGACAATAGTTGTGACTGGTTACGGAAAAGCTATGCAAAGTTCCATCTCTAGCTCTCTGCCATAGTCAAAACATTAAAGTCGCATTTTTACAAAGTTGAAAAATGTTGAATTAAGTATTTACTTAGCAGTAGAGCAACGTGAAAAGAACGGCCAGAGGTTGGTAGTGGTAGGTTTTAGTAAAATACCATTGTGCTAGCGGCTAGTCTCACCCGAAAACGTTAAAAAACGAGCGAGAAAAGTTACCCCTGGGCGTCAGCAGGCGCATCCAATTTATTGATTTTTTTTTCGCAAAAAACGCCAGGTGCGCGTACAGATGTTCCGATTAGAGTTCAACATTGCAGATTAATATGCATTCGTCAAATGTGCATTTGCAGCTGCGAATCCCAATTGGCGTTGTTTTGAGACTGGCCCACGCACACACACGCTTTCTTCGCACTTGGCCTGGCCAGTTGGTGACATCATCAGAGCCAACATTATTCACGCTCCCTTCCCTTGCAGCGAGTCTCACCCATATCCACCTGCAGTTCCAGTTCAGCTCCTAGACCAGCTCCAGTTCCGCACCAGCAAACCCCGCACACACATCCAAGTCCCAAGCAGCCACCGAAATGGATCGCAAGGCTGAGCTGGAACGCAAGAAGGCCAAGCTGGCCGCTTTGCGCGAGGAGAAGGATCGAAGGCGGCGCGAGAAGGAGATCAAGGACATGGAGGAAGCGGCCGGCCGAATTGGCGGCGGTGCTGGCATTGATAAAGATCAGCGCAAGTGGGTTTTTCCTCTATTAACATGTCTTTTTGTATTGAAACTTACCTGCCTCCTGTTGTCGACGTTTTAGGGATCTCGACGAAATGCTGTCCTCGCTGGGCGTGGCCCCCGTATCCGAGGTGCTCTCCTCCCTGTCCTCCGTCAACTCGATGACGTCGGACAACTCCAACACACAGACCCCCGATGCCAGCTTGCAGGCCACCGTCAATGGGCAAAGGTGAGTAATACTTTTATAGAAGTAATCTGAGCATCTTGAAAGCAAGCTATATTAGTTTTATGGGCCGGAATACCTTAAGATAATATTATTAATATGGAAATTTACGTTACTAATACTGATTTCCCCACTCTCACAGCGGCCTCAAGAAACAGCCCCTCAACCTGAGCGTCTACAATGTCCAGGCAACGAACATTCCACCAAAGGAGACGCTGGTCTATACGAAACAGACACAGACGACCAGTACCGGCGGACACGAACGTGATGGTGCGTATTACCGCCGGGGAGGGGAGCTTGGGTCTCTATTTCTACCACTGTCCATAGTTTTGACTCCATCTTTCGCTACTGTTGCTGTTCTTGTTCTTGGTCTCGTTGTTGACTGTGTTTGGCTTCCCTGCGTCCCCGCCCATCTGGCGGAAGGTGTCTACCTTTCTCTCTCTCTCTCTCTTTCTATCCACCTCTATATGTATCCTCCGAGTTGTCCCGTTCTGTCTGGCGCTAGTTGAAAATGCTGCATGCTGCCCCCCAGGCTGATTCCGGTTCCGGTTGCGCGCTTTTCCCTCCCCCCCATCAAACCCCATATCCCCCGTCTCGCCTCTCTTCCCAGCAGAGAAAAACAAAACAGAAAAGCATAATCCATAGTGAAATAAAATAACAAATACAGTTCTTTCTTGCCACTCCTCGCCTCTGTCAGGATATATGGAGGACTGGTGGCGTCCACGTAAAGGTACTAATCTTAATTTTAAGCAAACTCCACACCTAATCAGATCAGCACAAAATTTGTTATGGTAAAAAATGAAACCTAGACCGAAAAATATATACATATATGTGACACGCTTAGAGAGAGCCATGTGCAACGTTTATACGATCTCCGCACAAAGTCCGTATAAGCGTGGTAGAATTGGTGCCCAAATTATGACAGTCCCATTGCCTTTTTTTTTGCTTCAACTCAATGTTGTTACTTGTCGTTTTGTACACATAATCACACCTGTTGGATCGATCATCTTATGACAGCCTCGCCTTGCTTTGCTCCCTTAGCCTTATTTGCTTTTCCCCCAAGTGCTGCCAATTGAGCCTTGAATTTCATATTAAATTCCTTGTATAGAATACCTTTTAAAATTCCTTTTGTGTATTTGTAGTCATAATTTAATATATTTCTGTTTGTATTTTCAATATAACCTTGTACTAAGTTCGTTTTTTATGTTAAATTTTTGACATTTTTGTAGAAGACGGTCAAGCAATCATAGTGAAACTTTGTAGATAGTTAAAAGGGAAATCGAAGATAAAAAAAATGTATACAAATATTTTTTTAAATATGCCACAGCCCCAAAAATTTTGGTTTCCCCCTTAAGGATATCATATATAATCAGATAATGTAAAAATTTAAATTAAAAACAAAATAAATACAGTTTCCTAATATTTCTCATTCTAAATTTAAACCTATGTATCACGTGTAGTTTTAAATCTATTTTCTTCTGATTATTATAATAATTAATATCTAAATAAGCTGTTTTTTTTTTTTGTCAATTCGCACCGTTTGGTGTAAAAGAAGGTTCTTGGTAGCACTATTGTCCCTTAATTTCCGTCATCCTTACGATTATTAGTTCCGTATTCGATCCATTTACGCTGCAGTCTCTACTCATCCACCGCATAGCATAAACCGCTCCCCAGTCCAGCATCCATCCATCCATCGATCATTAGCGTTTACACCGTTTGAGAGCATTTAATAATTTGTCTATTTACTTTCTCTCTCCCCCCTTATCTGTTTTTGGCACGCACGCAAAAAAAACTGCAGCTCATGCTACGGATTATTATGGTGAGTAGTCCTCGTTGTATGCGTAACCTTCTACCTAGAACTTTTCAGCCTCCGTAGTTGCGGTCTGTGTAAGGCACCCGTAAAGCGTATCGTATAATCGTACCCGTAATATCCGTAACCCGTAAATTTGTATTTATCCCAGCTCAATTTCTATTTATACATATATATTTATCCGTATTACGTATTCGTACCTCTACCTGTGTAGTTTTGCTCTATCTCTTCCACACAAACACCCTCCTCTTGATCAACGTAGTCTTTCCTCCTCCTTCCGACTTCCTGACTTGTATGACTTATATAGTGTATGCCTGATATTGCTATTCTATGTATAGATACATTTATGTTTATGTCCTAGCCTCTCGTAGTTGCTTCTTCGATCTTCGTTTTCAATTCGATCGTTTAATTTGTTCCCCAATCCGGATTATATATATAATATATATACATATATATATTACTTATGTGTACATTTAATATGATTTTAAAAACTACTGATTTGTTTCAATTAGCTCTAGAACCACATCGCAACAGAGATTCAGTTTGCATCAAATCGTCAAGCGATTTTATAACGAAATGAAAAAAAGTCAACAAAAAATTGTTAATCTCCACCCAATTTATAAGTTTTAATTCTTTTAAGTATCGTAGTTTTCGTTATCGTTTTAAGATTTAACCAGTTTTATTTTAAATCCTTTTTTTATTAACATATTTTTACCATATTTGTGCTTCCATATGAAAGCTATATGTATTCGAGAGTTATCATTTTAGAAGAAGCCGTATCTTATCTTGATTTTTATCGATCTTAGCATAACCGAATTTTAGAATGAATATTTCTAGTCCATTATTTTTTAGTCTATGATATTTTAAGTCTATGATAACCTATAAGAATCGATCACAGACATACACACACACACACACACACACAATCACACAGCGAAACTGCATGTGAAAGCACAGAATCGAGAGTCTATATATGTATATCTATGAATACCTACGTATGATTAATTAACCGATATCGTTGAACATCCTAAGCTGTATGATAAAAACTTTTTATCTCCTCCCCTCGCCACTGTTTGTGTTCTCATTAAATAAGCCAGGCTTGTGTGCTAATAGTACTTAAACATACATACAAACATATATCCTATATATACAACATATATTCGTATGTGACCATGTGTGATCATTTCGCTAATATAAGCCACAAGCAACAGTTAAAAGCACACTAAAATCAAGCATTTCACACTTTTTACCTTATCGTTTTACCGTATGAATTTAGTTACAAAACAATTGAGTATCGATCTATTGATCGATTTATCGACTTTTATCGGCAGTTTGCTAAAGCCAAACTCTTTTTTTCGTTTTGATTTTGATTTAAAGTCACAAAACCAGAAAAACTACCAGCAATGTATGTACAATATATTTATTTCTTTATATTTCTTCAAGATGAATACAATCTTAATCCGGGTTTAGAGTGGGAGGATGAATTCACAGGTAGGTACAGGCCAGACGCCGCCCCAACGAAATATTGAACAGTGATGAAGGAATCGACATGAAGCAAAATAGGAACGTTCCAATTCTCACTTGGCAAGCGAAACGAAATCGAAGTAAAAGCACAGAAAATGCGTTGAAAAATTCGATTCTTCGAGATGTCAGTGTTGAAAAATAAATTGAATTGAAGAAACACCAGACACTTGCGCTCTCACAACACTATTCTAACGGACCCGTCTCGCTCTCTATCTCCCCTTCATCTATGCTTGTGTACAGCTTTCCTTGCATGACTGCTACTGCTCCTGCTCCTGCTCCTGTTCCTGCCTTTCCCTTTTCCTCTGTCCCACCCCCGACCACCTGTGTGTGCCGTGTTGCTAACCCTAATCACTCATCCTAAACTCTGGATACGTAACATGATAACTTTGTCCTAACCACTAACTCCTCTAACGCAACAACCGAAAACAAAATCAACAATAGCAGCAACAACAGCGCAGCAGCAACAGGGACAGAGACAGGGATGCGCTAGGCTTGCTTCATTTCATGCTTCAAATTGGGTTGGCCATAGTGTCCTTGCCACCCACACTCACCCCATCACTCCCGCACACACACACTCGACAGCGAGCGATGATGTTTGGCTTCGGCTCTCTCTCTCAATCTCTCCCTCCCGCAGCTCTCTCGATCCTCTCTTTGATTACAATTACAGCACTGTAACAGACTCGATCAATCGGCCGTTAACTTTACAATGTTAAATATATGTGTAATATATTTCTAGCATAAAACTAAATAATTTTAAGTGCAAGCAATTATAAAATGGGTGGAGAAAAAAAAAACGAAAATGAAAATGAAACAAACGATGTGGTGTACAATAGCAATAACGTTGATAGAGTTAATTTAAACAGAAACCGAGCTTAACCGATGCAAGGAAATTGTAAATTTTTTTATTTCTGTAATTGGCTTTGTGTATTAACTAGGTGAATTAAAAAACAACCAACCAAAAACAACGCACACAAACACATATGTACTCACCTGTCCATGCCCAAAGAAACTGTGTATATATCGATAACAAACTACAGTCTGATATATGCACCTGTGTGCGTGCGCTCTACAGTGTTTAACAGTTTTTAACAGCCATGCACCAGCCGCCATAAATCTATCTTTCAATCTCTCTCTCTCACTATACCTTGCGCACACACACGCATTTGTGATCCACTCTCACGCACGCCCACCCCCCCAAACGGGATGCTAAAGAAGACGAACAAGGTAAGGTGCCATGCTGCAACTATGTAAGGAAAGCTGCTCTCTCTTTTGAGATCAATAGCTATTGCCTACCTTTCTGAGAGCGGATACGGGAAGCTAAAAGCTGATGAGACCACCTTATAAAGTTGCAGCATGTGACCAACCGAAGAAATGCGAACTCCGTGCCCTGCATCTCCACTTCTATCTCTCGCGCTCCCTCCCACCCACAAGCTTCACATTCCCTTAAATCATAACCTAACCCAAAACCAACCTAAATCCCGTCCCAGCGAACCCCCAAAAATTAAAAGAAAATAAAAAATAACAAAGCCAAAGGTCACAGAAATTTTGCAGTTTCAAGTCAAATCAAAACGCAGCCAAAGAAGAACGCAAAAAAAAAAAAACGAAACGAATCGAATCGAAAAGAAAAGAAATCAATCAACCCAAACTCAAATTGATGAAGAGCCGAAAAAAAAGTAGAATTGTTCCTGTTCTGTCGATTGTCATGTTCCTCTAGCTGTGTTAGTTTTATACCTTAAACAGTGCTTGCATTTGATGCCCAAGGAGATGACGAAGAGAGCTCGCTGCCGCATCTGGACAATGGATTCACTTCCAAGCTGCCCCCGGGTTATCTCACCCACGGCCTGCCCACCGTCAAGGACGTGGCCCCGGCCATTACGCCGCTCGAGATCAAGAAAGAGACTGAGGCGAAGAAAGAGGGTGAGTATATTGAATCATCAAATTAAGTTCTCCATTTAACTTCCTTTCTTTCAGTCAACGAGCTGTCCGAGGAGCAGAAGCAGATGATCATCCTATCGGAGGACTTCCAGCGGTTTGTGGTGCGCGCCGGCCGCGTTATCGAGCGAGCCCTCTCGGAGAACGTGGACATCTACACGGACTACATTGGCGGCGGCGACAGCGAGGAATCCAGTGACGAGCGATCGCATGCACGGCTCTCACTGAATCGAGTTTTCTACGAGGAACGCTGGTCGAAGAACCGCTGCATCACCAGCATGGATTGGTCCACGCACTTCCCGGAGCTAGTGGTGGCCTCGTATCACAACAACGAGGAGAGCCCCAACGAGCCCGATGGCGTCGTAATGGTCTGGAATACAAAGTTTAAGAAGACCACGCCCGAGGACATCTTTCACTGTCAGAGCGCGGTGATGTCCACCTGCTTTGCCAAGTTCAATCCCAACCTGATCCTCGGCGGCACCTACTCGGGCCAGATTGTGCTGTGGGACAACCGTATCCAGAAGCGCACTCCCATTCAGCGCACGCCGCTAAGTGCTGCTGCCCACACGCATCCCGTTTACTGCCTCCAAATGGTGGGCACCCAGAATGCGCACAATGTCATCTCCATATCCTCGGACGGCAAGCTGTGCTCCTGGTCTTTAGACATGTTGTCACAGCCGCAGGACACGCTCGAGCTGCAGCAGCGACAGTCGAAGGCCATCGCCATTACATCCATGGCCTTCCCGGCCAACGAGATTAACTCGTTGGTGATGGGCAGCGAGGACGGTTACGTCTACTCTGCCTCGCGCCATGGCCTTCGCTCCGGTGTCAACGAGGTGTACGAACGGCATCTGGGCCCCATCACTGGCATTTCCACACACTACAACCAACTCTCGCCGGACTTTGGCCACCTTTTCCTCACCTCGTCGATCGACTGGACCATCAAGCTTTGGTCGCTTAAGGTACTCCTTAAGACTTGACGTAAATCTATCTCACGTATCTACATCTCTCATTTGCTGTCTCTTCCAGGACACAAAGCCGCTGTACTCGTTCGAAGATAACTCGGACTATGTGATGGACGTGGCCTGGTCGCCAGTTCATCCGGCTCTCTTTGCCGCCGTCGACGGCAGTGGCCGTTTGGATCTGTGGAACCTCAACCAGGACACCGAGGTGCCAACAGCCTCTATCGTTGTGGCGGGAGCACCGGCGCTAAATCGCGTCTCCTGGACGCCCTCCGGCCTGCATGTATGCATCGGCGACGAGGCCGGCAAGCTGTACGTGTACGATGTGGCCGAGAATCTGGCACAGCCGTCGCGGGACGAGTGGTCGCGGTTCAACTCGCATCTCAACGAGATCAAGCTCAACCAGAGCGACGAAGTCTAGGGCGATAGTAGTAGTAGTAGTAGTAGTCGATTCCGCGAGGGTGAAGAGTCCTTGATTGAAATTTAATTTGTATTCTCTTTTTTTGTGATCCCTACTGCTCCTTAACGCTGTGTATAGACCAGACAAAACCCACGCTCATCCGCAGTCCAAATGCTCAGCATGCTCGTTGGATCACCTCCCACTCGTCACTCCGCCTCCCTCAGTCCGTCAAGTAACTCAAGTAAATGTATTAGAAAGTTCATCCAATGAAACGGAATTTAGATATTTATTACGAGACAGAGAATTATAAAGAGCGGCGCTAACAATTGGTATTTTTATTTAGCTTGATATTTATTTAATTGTTCCGTTCTTTTAATCAAATTTTGCAATCTGCAAATTGGTTTCTTCTCTTTTTATTTAATTTTTGCAACTAGAAAGAATGAAGAAAGACCGTTTGCAGACATACAGCGGAGCACATAAAATAAATTAACTACATATTATATACATATATACAACAATAAATTAAGCTTGAACCTGAGAAGAAGAAAGACAGAGATAAGAAAAGGGGGCTAGGAGGAAGTAGAGAACAGAAGAGCGACGGAAAGAAAGCCACTTAACTGAAAGAGCCCAAAAATGTAAATGTATTAGAGCGAAGCCTATTTAACGAGATTAAATAAAGATAATATCTATATACACACACACCCTTGGAGATTACTATATGGCATTATTCAAAGTCTGTGGAGATGGAAATGTCATTTCGGAGATATTGCGCTTGTTGGCAGAAAAAAAAACCGACTTTAAGGATACCCAGTCGATTTCCATAAAAGTGGTTATCACTTGGTTCTTTGGGTTTTTTCGTCCAATCTTTTTTGATTTTAGAATATTCTAAATTCTTTTAAATTTGATCAATTAAAGCATTTCTTAATGTAACTATTTTAAACTTTTTAGAAAACTTTCAATTTTTTGGCAGCGTTGATTATTCAAATGGGTAATTCACCCTATTCACGATAGCTATTTCGGCTTTCTATGATGACCAAGACATCAGTCATCTTATATATATACATACATATGTACATATCATCCGATCTCCGTAAGTGGCTTGGCTTCAATTAATTAATTCCAAGCCAGTGCCCGTGCCCGGAGTGATTCAGCTGCCGTGGAATGCCAGCCAAGTGCATTAGAAGCTGAATTGAAAGCTTCGGGCAAAAGTCGCGCTCGCAAAAGCTTCTAGAACCGGTGCCCACGGAGAATGCGAGACGGAAAGAAGAGGAGGAGCGGAGCAGAGAGACCAAACCGAACCCGAACCCACTGCACCGTCACCGTCACTGCCTCCCATCATCGGCATTCGTAGCATTCCCCGAGAGCGAGCGGAGACGACAAGACGCGCGTTGTGAACGAGAAACCCAGGGAAAAACGAGAAACCTAGAGGAGAAACGCTGATTTAACGCGAATTTAAGTGACCCCAAAAAGAAGAAGCTACCGCCAAATAAAAGTGCTCCCATACTTATTCTCCAGCCAAGCTATGGACTACAAGGTAAGTTGTTGCGCCATAGAAAAGACAAAACAGTGCACTTATTGATTTGCCACTGCGATGCGTCATCGTCATCCGCCAGCCCGTGCCCACGGTGACGAACGCCACCCCCTTTGATGCCGCCGCCGACGCCCAGACGCTGCGGGCAGCGATGAAGGGATTCGGTACCGACGAGCAGGAGATCATCGATGTGCTCGCCGGCAGGAGCAACCAGCAGCGCCAGACGATCCGTGCCGTATACGAGGCCGAGTTCGAGCGGGACATGGTAGAGGATCTTAAGAGCGAGCTGGGTGGCAAGTTCGAGGATGTGATCGTGGGCCTAATGATGCCACCTGTTGAGTACCTGTGCAAGCAACTGCATGCCGCCATGGCTGGCATGGGCACCGAGGAGGCTACGCTCGTCGAGATCCTGTGCACCAAGAGTAACGAGGAGATGGCCCAGATTGTGGCTGCCTACGAGGAGCGCTACCAGCGCCCGCTTGCCGAGCAGATGTGCAGCGAGACTTCTGGCTTCTTCCGCCGCCTCCTCACCCTGATTGTGACCGGTGTTCGTGATGGCTTAACCACACCCACGGATGCCAGCGAGGCCAAGGAGCAAGCCGCTCAGCTGTACGCTGCCGGTGAGGCCAAACTTGGCACAGACGAGGAGGTCTTCAACCGGATCATGTCGCATGCTAGCTTCCCCCAGCTGCGGCTCGTCTTCGAGGAGTACAAGGAGCTGTCCGGCCAGACCATCGAGCAGGCCATCAAGCACGAGATGTCCGACGAACTGCACGAGGCCATGATGGCCATAGGTGAGCCCCCTAATATTGTTATCTCTAAGCTATCTACCATCGACCACCTACCTTCAGTTGAGTGCGTCCAGTCGCCTGCGGCCTTCTTCGCCAACCGCCTGTACAAGGCCATGAATGGAGCTGGCACCGATGACGCCACCCTCATTCGGATCATCGTCAGTCGCTCGGAGATCGACCTGGAGACCATTAAGCAGGAGTTTGAGCGCATCTACAACCGTACGCTGCACAGCGCCGTGGTGGTAAGTGAATCCCGCGAGATCGCCCATAACTTTGCACCTGGCTAACGTATCGCTTTCCGTTCCTCTTTACCCTTTTACTCTTGTATATTCGGTATTTGTTGCGGTGTTTGTGTTGTCCTAGGACGTAAGTATTGGTCACGGCATTATTGGTAGAGCGGTTGCATAATCCCAAAGTCCTATTTTGGCCTGTTTACACTACAGTTGCTATCCCCTCACCCATTACACTTGAAAAAAAAATGTCTTCCAAATTCCAGATTGGTCCAGTGGACGAATACTTATCGTCTGGGATCCGGCTTGCTCACTAACATCCAAGTTTTTCTCCCAAATTTAAGTAGCTGTAGTTGTAGTGTAAATAGGGCAGCCCATCTCGTAGCGAAACTTAACTCGTTTTTTCTTTTTTTTTTTTTGGTTTCTTTGCAGGCCGAGACCTCCGGCGACTACAAGCGGGCCCTGACTGCCCTACTTGGAACCGCCTAAGCGCGGCAGCTGCTCCGACCCCTTATTATATTCGTATTCATAGCTGTTATTCGTAGTGTGCCTTGTAGGAGAATCGCTTTTAATGTCTGCGCATGCGCACAGTGGTGGCAATAAACAACCGCACTTAGCAAAAGTTCTTGGTTAAATCGCTTGCGCTTTTCATGGTCGTCCTGCGAATACAATTTGGAAAACGGCCCTGGGCCTGGGAACCGAACTACTTAAAGTATAGCTTTTGCAATTCCTTGGATTTTACGGGCAGGTAGTTCTGCATCTCATCTGGGTTGGTCCAGAAGGCAGTGTAGGTCAGGAGCTCGGCCCAGGGCGCCTCCCGGTAGATGTACTCCTTCAAGATGAAATCGTTTTCAATCTCGTGGTGAAAACGGGTGTCATGCATCCGCATAAGCACGCCGTCCACGCGGAGGAAGTGGCGCAGAAGTATGAAGAAACCAGAGGGCATCACGCGCTGCCAGCAAATGGAATGAAATAAAATTTCTGGGCGTGACCTCCATGCCAAGCAGTCTACTTACGATGCGCACACTCATCACGGATATGCCGTGGTCATGCAGCTCGTCCTCGAATAGGGTGAGATCCTGGTAGAATATGATGTTCTCGCGCTGCATCAGCTTGAACTTGTTGAGCGTCTGGTCTGTGCTCTCGGCTCGCACTTTGTCGTTCATGGTGCCCTGGTAGGTGGATGTAAATGTCCAGTCAAAGGGTTTGAATTTCTCCTCCGTGGTCTGCTCGGGTCTGTCGGCAAAGGGGAAATTCATTGTATATTTGGTAAGTGAAATGCGAGTTCAGGACACCCACCTGGTTTCGCGCCACTCTTGGGCGCAGGCCACTTCCAGTGGCTGCTTGCCGTTCGAGACCATAGTGAGTGAGTCCATGGGCTTGAACTCGATCAGGGCGCCGTCCTTGTGCCTCAGCACTAGCTTGTTCTTGTAGAACACCATGTCGGGCAGGTGGGGCAGCTCCAGCGAGTGCTGGTAGTGGCAGAGATCACAGCGATTGGCGTCATCCTTGGGGCAGCTCTGGTCGATGCCCAGCTTGCAGATGCTCTTCAGGATGTGCGACTTCTCGTAGCTGATGTCCCAGTCGTGGAACTTTATCTGCTCGCTGCTTACCGGTAACCGGGCCACAACGGTCGGGCACTGTGGGAAGAAGTCTTGGTTTATTAGAGGTTTATGAGGAAACCGCGGACCGATCCATGCTTACATCGTTTGCCATGCTTTCGGCGGGCCGTTCCTGCGCAAAATTTAAAGCGTAAAAGCGTCTATTAAACGGTTAATCCACTCAAAACACAAAATGTTTGCATTTATCATCTGCCAAAGCTGGGTCAATCGACGACTCATAACTGTATCGATGTATCGAAAGCTTAAGCCAATCGATAAGTCAGTATTTAAAACTAAACTCCATTTTAAATCAAGCCCAATTTATCAAAATAAATATTGTGTCCCACTTGAAATCATGTCACACTGAAATCTATATCAGTGCCCCTATATTTAGATAAGTTCCTAAAGCTTTATTCAGTTTGTTTACTGACAATTGTAAAATATATATAGATGGTGCAGTCCGATATTTCTTGTATCCCCGCGCAGTCTGGCAGCCCCATCAGCATTTGTTTTTATTCCGTGTAGTAGTTGTTGTTTTTGTCAGTTACTCCGAATCCGGAACGATGAATGTCCTGAGGCGCTTGGAGCGCCTTGCCGCCGCGAGCGGGATTCGCCGCTCCACCGGAGTCTCGGCGTACCTAAGGCCGCGCCTGTGCCGGGCGCTTGCCACGAGCTCCGGCAGCAGTTCCAGCGGCAGCAAGTCCACCGTAAGTGCCGCTGAGGTTCGCAGCGTGGCCAAGATCCTGCGCGAGCAGACGGGCAGCCTGGGCCAGCCCACCAGCGTCTCGCATCCGCATCTGATCCGGCCGGACGAGCTAGTGCCGGGCGTGGAGCTGGACGAGCTGAAGGAGAGGCGGGAGCAGTTGATGCAAAACATCCGCGCCTATGCCCGCAGCTTTGGTGGCGAGTACAATGGCCACAGTAGCAGCTGTCACATGGTAGGTACCGGCCAGGATGCGTATCCAGTCAGGTGCTAACGTCCAATCTGTTCCACCAACAGCTCGTTCTGGGCGCCGCCTCCAAGAAGTACATGAGCGGGAAGATCCCCTACGTCTTCAGGCAAAACTCAGACTTCTACTACCTGACCGGCTGCCTGGAGCCGGACGCCGTGCTGTTGCTCTTCATCGACGAGACCCAAAACGTGCACTCCGAGCTTTTTATGCGCCCCAAGGATCCCCATGCCGAGCTCTGGGATGGCCCACGTACCGGGCCCGAGCTAGCCGTGCCTCTGTTCGGTGTGACGGAGGCCCATCCGCTGGACCAGCTGGAAAATGTGCTGACCAAGAGGGCCGCCGACCTTAAGCCACATCTCTGGTTCGACCAGAAAAGCTCCGACCTGCCGCCTCTGGTGGAGAACATGCTGCGTCTGAGCAGCACGGAGCAGCGTCCGCTCCTGCCCGCCTACACCTTCCTGGAAGCCATGCGGCTGCTGAAGTCACCTGCCGAGATGCAGCTAATGCGGCGCACCTGCGACATCGCTGCCCGCTCCTTCAACGAGGTAATGGCGGAATCGCGGCCGGGACAGTCGGAGCACCATCTGTTCGCTGCCATTGACTTCAAGTGTCGCATGCGCGACGCCAGCTACCTGGCCTATCCGCCGGTGGTGGCCGCCGGGCGCAATGCCACTGTGATCCACTACATAAGCAATAGCCAGATGGTGCAGCCACAGGATCTGGTGCTGATGGATGCCGGCTGCGAGTATGGCGGCTACACCAGCGACATAACGCGCACATGGCCGGCAAGCGGAGAGTTCACCGATCCCCAGCGAACGCTGTACGAAATGCTGCACCAGCTGCAGGCCGACATCATTGGGACCGTGATGAGGCCCGGCGGCGAGACCCTGGACCAGCTGTTCGAGACCACATGCTACAGGCTGGGCAAGTACTTGCAGGAAATCGGTCTGGTATCCAAATCGCTGAGCGACTACAAGGAGCTGGCTGGCCAGGGCTATCGCTTCTGTCCCCACCACGTCTCCCACTACCTGGGCATGGATGTGCACGACACGCCGCATGTGCCGCGGAACACGCGCATTGTGCCCGGCATGGTGTTCACCGTGGAGCCGGGCATCTACATTGGCCAGGATTGCGGCGATGTGCCGCCAGAGTTTCGCGGCATAGGCATCCGTATCGAGGACGATCTGCTGATAGACGAGCGCGGCCAAGTGGAGGTCCTCACGGATGTGTGCGTCAAGGATCCGCGCGCCCTGGAGGAGCTGTGCAAGCGAGACCAAACGAAGCCGGCTGCCTCAGAGTTGTTGTGAGGAGCTATTCCTTGTTCCTTGTTCATTTTAAAATTCCTAGTCATGTCCTGTCTTAAAGTTGGCTCGTTTATTAATGGCAAATACAGTGAATGATTTGAATCGGATGGATCACAGCTTGGCGAACACGGGCTTCTCGTCCTTGGTCAACTGGGCGGCCACAGCCTGGGCAAAGTCCTCCGACTGCAGGTTCAGTTTGTTAAGCAGGCGCTGCAAAGGATCAAAATGTTTATTTAGAACAGAGTTCACACCATCTGGCGACTCAGGGATGACATACAATGTGATCCAATCCCTCTTGATTTGTGTGCTCCAAGGAATAGACCATGCTCTCCTTGGTCGTTCGCACGGCAATCGGGCTCTTGCTGGCAATGGTCTCGGCGAGAGATACAGCTCCGCTCAGCAGGGATTCCTTGTCCGGGAAGACGCGGCTTACCAGGCCAGAGGCGTGGGCTTCCGCTGCCTCAAAGCGACGGCCGGTGTAGCAAAGCTCACGGGCCAGCGATTGGCTGCCCACCGCCTTGGGCAGTCGCTGTAGCGTGCCCACGTCGGCGGCCATGCCGATTTCCACCTCGGTGACCTGGAAGAATGCGTCCTCGGTGCAGTAGCGAATGTCCGATGCGGTTATCAGATCAACACCAGCGCCAATACATGCCTTGTGCACGGCTGTGATGACGGGCTTGGGGCAGCGCTCCAGGCTGCTCATTGAGTCCTGGTACAGCTTGATCATGCCCTCCAAAATGACGCCCTTGCGCCCAACGTCATCGACCTCGGCCAGCTGCATGCCCACACCCATCATGTCGTTGAGATCGATGCCGGCGGTGAAGTGCTTGCCGGCGGCGGACACCACGATAGCCCGACAATCTGGATTAATGGCCAGTCCCTCGAAGCAGTCCTTGATCTCTCTGGGGAAATCATATTGGTTAGGGAGTACTAGCAGGCCAGGGTTTGGGGGGCAACACCTACTGCCACATTTGCTTGTTGATGGCATTGAACTTGGTGGGCCTGTGCAGCTCGACATGGAAGACGAACGGCTTGGGTGAGCTAACGGCCAGCGTCTTGAACTGGCCAGACTGGTGTCCCGGCTCCGCATGGGCTGTCATGTTCCGCTTGGTCTGCATTTGCACGGTGGCACGGACTGCTGTCGAAAAAGAGAGTTAATGATCCGGACGATTTCACGAGAGGCAAAGGTTCATCGACATATATTCGGACTTTGAACTGCACCAAGATCTTGAACCAGAGGGCGGGCGGATTGTCCTATCGGCAGGGCAGGCTAGAAATCGACGTTGTCCCGCCCCTACCTACCGGCCGTACTAGGAGCCAGCTTCATTAACGTATTCAGCCGGGAGAGCGACATATCTGCGAGTGAATTATTTTAAATCAAATCAACTTGTTGCGGCTGCAAAATTTGTTTTGTTTGCCTATCGATAAGTGGCAGTGTTGCCACCTTGCTGGCAACCTCTATGGAGTCGAGAAAAAATACTAGAAAAAAAAAGGCGTAAGGAGATTGCGCGAGGACACACTTTTAGTATTTCCAGAGCGCGGTGCAAAAAGGAATAAAATATTTCAAAAATATTCAAGTTTCTGAAAATATTTCATATATGTCCTTAAACAGATTTATATTTTCCGTAATGTAATTTTCCTAGAAAATCAATTAAATTAAATTAAATTAGCGTCGACGAGTTATCATGGAACGGTGGAAAATGGAACATCGAGGGGTTTCGAGATTCTGGGATTACAACCCAACGGGCACACTAAACTCTAGATTAGGTTTTCGGGAATTTGTTAAACAAAATCGGCGATCGAGGCACTTTTGACAAACCATATATTTATGTAATAAAAGATACGCCGGAACGGCAGGAAGAGTTATGAGCACGCCGACGGCAAGAACGCCTTAGTATTCAACGGAATATTAAAAGACCCCCATTATCCAACTCAAAGTGCAAGTGCAAGAGCTCAACATAATTCACAACGTTTTTTTTTGCTCAAATCCGACGACAACAACAAACGCCGCGATCAAATCGAACACACATACACTCACAAACATATACACACATATATCTTTGTTTTTTTTTATTTCTCATTTTATTGCCGAAAAAGAAAAGAGAAATATAAAATACAGGACGCACACACACACATTGAGAGAGTGAGAGGGTAGTGGAGAAGAGGAAGCACGGACTTTAGTTCTTTCCAAAAAAAGGAAAAACAAAAAGATAATAACCCCGCACAGCATCGAAAAGCGGAATATTATTAAAGTTGGAGTGGGAGCTAAAAAAGACCGCGAAAATAACGGCGAGAAACGTTTTCCACGCAACTGGGAAGCCTCTTGTTATCGATTTTATGTTCTCCGTGTGCACCGTGCGCCGTTTGTGTGTGTGCTGCGCTCCGGGTGCGTGCGTATGTGTTTAACCACGGCGTGTTATCAACAAAAAAAATAAATAAATAAGTAAATATAAATAAAAATAAATAAATAAAATTAAAGAACTGTTGGCTGCAAAAGTAACAGAATCGGCAAAAAAAAAAGACCAAACCAAACCGTGTTAGCCGGTTGTTTCCAGCCATCTCGCTCGCACGCGACCAGATCGTCGTGGACTTTACTTTTAAAAAATTAATTGTTGAATTTACCCAATGATTTCGCTGCTGCAAATGAAATTCCATGCGCTTTTGTTGTTGCTATCAAAAGTGTGGACATGCATCTGTTTCATGTTCAATCGCCAAGTGCGAGCTGTAAGTAAAATATACTAATATGTCCCGGAAAACAGTGTCTTCCCTTAATATGTACACACATACATCTGCCAGCATATATACTAAGTAGTTAATACGTATAGTTAACCAGCCCAAAAACTTATCAAATAATAATAATAATTCCCAACCCGATCCACTATCGACACGCGTTCAACTACCATAATAATAATAATAATAAAAAAAGCCACCGAGTGATAACACCATATATACATGTACATATAAGCACTTGATACCTGCCTATAGAGGGTATTTGATAAGTTGGTTCAGGGACAATTTGAATTTTATAGCATGGACCTCTTTCAAGGCCAAAGATCAAGGACCGGGTTTGCCTCCATCTGATAAACTTTTCGTAAAACTTTAAGTTTGATTTATCCGAACGAGAAAGATAACAGATTGATGTTATGCACTGATTTGTGCTACCTTCGAAAATCATCCCATATTTTAAGGCAACGCTGAACATGGCCCAAGGTTGCTGTAATATATTTAAAAAAAATTAACTGGGCATTGGATATTGGATTGATAATTAAATTAAATGTTTATCAGTTTGTTGTTCAAACAGTATCAGTTTATATGAAACACATTTGATATGTATGGCTGCATTAACATAAACAGTAAAATGAGTGGTTCTAATATATGGTTAATTTTTGTAGACATGGTAATTTAGCTCGTTGTAATTGCACCATAAATCCATTTAAAATCAATTAATATTGATCTTTTGTGAAAGCTTCGTTCAAATTTATAGCAAATACAAGTCTTTTTATTTATTATTAAAAATTGTTTTTTTTTTTTTTTTGTATTATTATTTTTTAACATTTTGTGGTACTTTTCTTATCAGGAAGACTCTAATGCTTCTCCAAATAATAATAATAAAAAAAAAAAAAAACAATGCACTAAACAGTGTTCACCCGTCGTCTCCTTATCACCTTTAAGGTTCCCGATTTCGGCTTGAAATCGTGACGATGCAACAAGTAACTGACCTTTGACCTGGCGCTATTCTTTCTGTTTTTACAAACTATTAGAGCCCCTTGGTTTTGATAGCTTATCTAGCACACCAGCACAGTTCAAATAATGGAATACATCGACAAAAGTATATAATTTTTGAGTATTCTTCCTCTTAGATTAAAAGGATATCTTTGTCCTTGTTTAAATTCCCTTAATGCTACATAACCGGCACCTCATTTTTAATGCATTAAATGTATTGTTCCGTTGATTGTACTATATTAACTTCCTTAGTTTATCCAGTATCAACCGGTTAAATATGAACTCTTCCCGCTGTCACCCGTCTCGCGCCATCGCCTTGGCCTGGTGCAGCGAAAGACGCTCGTTTTGGACCTGGACGAGACACTGATCCACTCCCATCACAATGCGATGCCCAGGAATACGGTGAAACCGGGAACGCCGCATGATTTCACCGTCAAAGTGACGATCGATAGGAATCCAGTGCGATTTTTTGTACATAAACGACCGCATGTGGACTACTTCCTGGATGTGGTGAGTTTCAATTATTATACATATATCCTTTTGCAGAGGTTATTACTATTTTAATTATATAACTATAGGGTCATTTTATATTATATTAATGTTACCTTTGAATTGATCTTTATTGCAGGTCTCGCAGTGGTACGACCTGGTCGTATTTACGGCCAGCATGGAGATCTACGGAGCGGCGGTGGCGGACAAACTGGACAATGGCCGGAACATTCTTCGGCGGCGATACTACAGACAACATTGCACGCCAGACTATGGCTCATATACCAAAGACCTGTCGGCCATATGTAGTGATTTAAATAGGGTAAAAATCAAATTATTTTATCATTCATGAATGTTCAATATTTCATTATTCAATGGGTCTGAATACCTTCTCTCTTTCGGCAGATATTCATCATTGACAATTCACCGGGAGCATACCGCTGTTTCCCCAACAATGCCATACCCATCAAGAGTTGGTTCTCGGATCCAATGGACACGGCGCTGCTGTCGCTGCTGCCCATGCTGGATGCCCTGAGGTTCACCAACGATGTGAGATCGGTGCTGTCACGGAATTTGCATCTGCATCGCCTCTGGTAGCAGGTGGGCCTCCTCTCGCTAGTGTAGTCTATCTAACTATTTCGAAGGAGTGCAGGGTGGAGAAAACTTCTTCACAAAATAACAACAACAACAACAAATGGTGGTGCTGTGACACATTAACGAATTTTTTTTTTTATTATTACGTATGTCAGATCAATTGAGAAAAAAGTAAGTTGAAAGTTTGAAAGAGAGAGATCTGAAATGGACAGTTTTCTTATTTTGTTTATATACTTAATAAGACTATATAGATTTTTGTAACAAGCTAAAATCACTTGCATACATATTTTGTGTAACAGTTTAACTCTTTCTTTTGTCCTGTTGTTTGTAGTGCGTGTGTATGTATGTTTTGATTATATATTGATATATATGTATATTTATATATATGTATAATTATATATATGATTATATATATGTATGTAAAGTGAAAGCTCTTGAAATAACATTAAATGAAGAACAAATTTGTCAAGTTATATATATATATATCATAATATTATTAAAACAAATTAAATCTAAGGCACACTTACACCAAGAGTCTTGTAATTTCTATACTACGATTAGGGATACATACACATATATATATATATATATATATATATATGTATATATATTATTGTAACACTGAAATTGTTTGAATTATTGAAGCAAAAAATACTTATAATTATACAAATTAGTTGATTATGAAACTTTCCTGGACATCATTATTATGGATAATTAATTATTATGGATTAAATATGTATAGACTTGCAGTATACCCTTTGTTTCCTGTACAAAACTAAGAAGAACCGTTTCATTGCTTGCAACAAGAAGGAAAAGGAGTTACATATACATACATATACCTACATCTAAGCGAAACAAACAACTATGAACTACTAAATATAATGTAAACGAAACAAGCGACAAAAACTGTTCTATTTTGTAAGGCAAGCAAGCAAGCAATGAAAGATCGGGCTGGGATGAGACATATATATGTAGGGATATATAGGGAGTTATAGAGCCAAATCACTTATATTATACTAAAACCGAGTTAGTCTGAGAATTGCGAAACCGTGGCACATCATCCGACGAAGGCATCACAGGGCGACGTGGCGGAGAAAAACAAGGAATGGATGGAGGAGGAGGGGGCGAGCGAAAAGAAAAACAAATGATGAAAACTGCTTCCATAGTTAATGTTACATATTTTCCAAAAATAAAAAAGCATCAACACTCACACAGCTTATATACACCTTTATACTATTTCCCCGAACCTCCAATCCAATCCAATCGAAATGTTTTTTTAAAAATTGAATTGTATATTTTTCAATAATCACTATTTGTATATTTAATGCAAAGAAAAAACATGAATAATACTTACTTGTATGCGAATGTTTGTTAATTTTAAGTAGTTTGTAGACAATTTGTTAAACTGGAAAGAACGTAAATGAAATAAATAAGAAAGAGGGAACACAACAGCAGAAAATCAGATACAAAAAATTACAACAAAATCAAATACTCTCTTGTTTTTATTTATAATTTTTTTTTTTAATTGGCGGGTACGCTTTTAATTATAACAGAATACTCAGGTTCAACAGTCTGTTACCAAGAAAAATAGCAAAATTTCTGTTAGCGAAAATGTTACTGTTAGGTGCAAGTAGAGCTGTGCTGCCAATTTAGTTTTTTTTTTCAATTCAATTCTTGTTATATTTTATTTTTATTTATTATTATTATTATTTTTTATTTTCTTATATGCCCTTGGTAAATGTTTTGTACTTTTATTTTATTATCTAGCTATTTCTAGCCTATTTGATATGCTATCGACGCGAAGAGTTGGCAGCACTGACGGAGAGATTAATTTTTGCTACATAAAACACACTTAAAGATACTCTTTAGTCAAAGAATCGAATTCAATATTCTCGGAACAACGTTTAATTTAAATGAAATATAATTTAATAATCACTAAAAAATATTGTCCTGCAAAATTAAATTTGAATATAAAATTCAAGATATATATATTGGATTTATTTATTGAACAGACTGATGAACCAAAAGACTCGACTAATTGTAGGGTGACCGGTATGTTAAATGCTCTGTTAAGCGCCAGTTTGAGGTTATGTTCGCCGCTCGTTGCTGGGCCAACAACAACACAAATTAAAATAAAATCTAAGCAAGGGAGCTCCGTAGTATTTACGCAACGCAACTGGTAAGAGCTGCTTCCCCACGACATGGATGCATAACAGATTAATCTGCTATTATGATTTCGCAGGAAAGCCCCACCTTCACACATGGCCACCGCAGCAGCTGTAGCAAAAGTTGGAAAATCAGTGCACCGCATTTTCGTGGGCAACCTGCCGTGGACGGTGGGTCATCAGGAGCTCCGTGGTTACTTTCGGGAATTCGGACGCGTGGTGTCCGCCAACGTGATCTTTGACAAGCGCACCGGCTGCTCCAAGGGCTACGGATTCGTTAGCTTCAACAGCCTGGCGGCGCTGGAGAAGATCGAGAACGAGCAGAAGCACGTCCTCGAGGGCAACTACCTGAACATTCAGAAATCGTAGGACACAAGCCTTACCCAGTTACATAGTTTTAAGTTTCAAGTTAACACACAAAACACATAAATGTCGGACAGCGATTCGGATCCCGAGGAGGAGTTGTTTCATCGCGCCGCCGAGCATGTGACTCGTCAGACAACTGTTCTCAGCTCCGCAGACCTCCTGGCGTTCTATGCCTACTACAAACAGGCCCTGGAGGGTCCCTGTGAGACGCCCAGTCCCAGCCTGCTCCAGCCGAAGGCGCGGAGCAAGTGGCAGGCGTGGAGTAACCTCGGCAAGATGACACCCAAGGCCGCCCGCCAGGCCTACATACAGAAACTCCAGATGCTTCAGCCCGAGTGGGGCTCGTCGAAGGGCAGCAGCCGCAGTACCACCGGCTGGGTAGTGCACTCCATAGAGTCTGTGCCCATTGAGGAACAGCGTTCCGAGAGCGAGAAAACACTCTTTGATCACGTCAAGGAGAACAATTTGGCGAAATTGAGGGAGCTGCTCTCCCCTTCTAGCTTGCTGGCTCTGGACGAAAACGGAATGGCATTATTACACTGGGCCACCGATCGCAACGCCGTTGAGATAATCAAGTTCCTGGTGCGGAGCGGTGCCAGTGTGGACCAGCGGGATGCAGAGCAGCAGACGCCGTTACACTACGCCGCCAGCTGTGGTCATCTGGAGGCGCTGCAATGTCTGCTGGCGCTCCAGGCCAATCCGGAGCTATGCGATTCCTACGGCCAGACCTGCTACGATGTGGCTGAAGATGAGCAGATAAGTGGGGTTTTGCAGGCGGAGCGACAGCGCTTGTCCGGATCCGGATCCGCATCATAAATGCTAATTAAATTGCAAGTGTACAATTTTTAATTTCCAAATACATAAATGTATAAAAAAAAACCAATTTTAAATTTTTTGTATCAGTTAATCAGGGTATTTTCACTAAGGAGGGTCCAATTCGCTTTCAAATTAAAGTTGTAATTCAAAAAGAATGAGATGGCTATAGTTTTCCCTCATCCACTGGTTCTCTTAACCATGAAAAACTATTACAAAATGTTGGTAAACGCACTTAAGAACGATAACATCAGCGAGCGTTGTCTCAAGTGTCGCTAAATATTTGAAAACGGGCTCAAAAAAGACCGTTTAGTGAATAACAATCGAGAAACATAAATAAATGTTACCCTTTAGTTCAGTTTTCACATGTTTTTAAGCACTCTTGCGATAATTTTTCATTACCAAAGATAAAATTAATGTGTTTCCACGACTATTTCTTGAGCAGAATATCCCTTAAAAACAATACAATAACTTCAAATGTATTTTACTTTACTAACTGATATATTTAATGACAAAGAAAATCATGATTTGCCGCGCCTTACTTCCACAGCTTCTTGATGGACATATTCTTCTCCGAATCCTTCTGCATCACCTTGGCCACCGCCATTTCAAAATCCTCCTGGGTGACATGGACACGACGCTCGCGGAGCGCATACATGCCTGCTTCCGTGCAGACACCCTTGACCTCGGCACCAGATGCTCCAGGCATCAGTTCGGCGATCTTGCGAAGATTTATACCACGGGTGAGGTTCATCTTTCTCGAGTGGATCTTCAGAATGTCCAGGCGTGCCTCCTCGTTCGGTGGGGGGAACTCGATCTTGCGATCAATACGGCCTGGACGGAGGAGGGCCGGGTCCAAAATGTCAATTCGATTGGTGGCCATGATCACCTTGATGTTCTTGGTGGCCTCAAAGCCATCGAGTTGATTTAGTAGCTCCAACATGGTACGCTGCACCTCGGAATCACCGCCGGATCCAGACTCGATACGTGACGATCCAATCGAGTCGATTTCATCCATGAAGATAATAGACGGGGCATGCTCGCGGGCCATAACAAAGAGTTCGCGCACCATGCGTGATCCCTCGCCGATAAACTTCTGCACCAGCTCAGAGCCCGAGACGCGAATAAAGGTGCACTCCGTGTGATGGGCGACGGCGCGGGCCAATAGAGTTTTACCCGTACCGGGAGGACCATACAGTAGAACGCCCTTGGGCTGGGCAATACCCAAGGCATCGAACAGCTCCGGATGCTTGACGGGCAGCTCGATTACCTCTTTGATTTCCTTGATCTGCTTGTCAAGACCGCCAACCATTTCGTATGTGGAATCGGGCACCTTCTCGACCATCATCAGTGAGACCAGCGGGTCCACCTTGTTTGGCAATATCTTGTGCAAAGTGTAGCTCTCGTTGCGCAGTGCCACACGACAATTGGGTGTAACGTCGTTAATGTCAATGTTCTTGTCCAGATCGACAACAAACTTGCCCTCGGGATGCACCTTGACCAGCACCTTCTTCTTATCCATGGGCTTGACCACCTCGCCCACATAGCTGCCTTGTTCCTGAAGCAACTGCAGCTCCTCTCGCAGCATACGAACTGTAATATTGATTTGTTTAGTTTTTAATATTCTTTTTAGGATATTTTTAATCAAAACGCACTATTATACATATATAAATATTTACATACATACATTTGTATGTACATCCAGCTTACCTTTAGCGTTGAGCTCATTGCGCTGGGCCTGCAGACGCCGCAAGTTTTGGCTCTTTTCGGCAACAATTAGCTGCAGTTCCTCAATCTTCTGGATATAGTATGAACGGAATCCCTCGCCCTTTTGGTAAGCGGACTCGATTTCCATCTGCAAAAATATAGAAACATTAAATCGTTTTTGCTCATTGGGCAATGGCTTGAATAGCTTCTTGCCAAGTGCTTTCTTACCCGATTTATCACCGTCATTTTGTTGGCTGTGAGTACACTTCACTGATTCGCAATCAATAATTTGTTCGTCCAGAAAGTAAACTCTTAATTTTTTTGATTATGACTCGGCATTCTTCGCTTGCTTTTGGAGATGGCAGTCGTGCTGTTTATCGGGCCGATTATTATCGACTATCGGTGTCTATCGATGGTTGAACAATTCAATGTGTTGACAGCCCGCAAAAATGGCTAAAATTCGTACCTTTAAATTTTCTTTTATCATGTTTTGAACCTTTTTAATAAAAATAAGTGAATGGATAAGTATCTATTACAATACATTTATCATATTCATGGTTGTCAACCCTATTTCGAAGGACAATGTCTGGCTTGGGTTCACGAGACTTGAAATTTGTGGGCATTCCCGTTTTAAATAATTAACATGTCTTATTGGGGCAGGTTTTCCAACGCTGGGAAAATTCGCACGTGCCTTAATGCAATTTTCATTTCGTGTTCAATAACAAAGCCTTCGACATTTTCATGCCGCATGATTGATTTTTAGGTGATGATTTTTGGATCGAAATAAAAAGTGAGAATACAAAAGGGCATTGTACTTTTGAATTTAATGCGTATGTATTTAAAGTGAATATGGTTGGGACACACTTACATATCAACAATTTGGGAAAACACCAAATGGACCTTTTTTTAAAGCTCCAAATATGTAAATTGCTGAATGGTAATTAAAAATCCAATGCTCGATAAAGTGCAGCGCGCCGCAGCCTCTCAAATCGATATACGATTAATCGGCGCTCGCGTTTCTAGCATTAGAACTGTTTTTCTCTCGATCTCTCTCACTTACTTCCGCAGCTGGCGTGACGTAATAGAACCGTTTACGTTTTGGCATATGTCGCTCTCGCTCTCCCGTCTCGTCGTTGTTGTTGTTTTTAAATTCGTTTCATTTTGTTTGGCATCTCCGACGGCGTTAGAAGTGCATATTCCGTACGTAATTCTTTTAACGTGTGTGCGTGCGCGTGTGCGAGTGTGTGTGGCAAACAGCTGTTCGGAGAAGAAAAGAAGAAAATAACGGGTCAAGTGCGACGCCACATTACTGAATGAATTGGTTGAACCATGAACTTCTAAATCCCCAATGACGCAGCGATAGATAATACTAATAACAGCACTATGTAAGTTGTTGTCGCGTTGTGAACACAATCATATATATGAACGTATGTGTGTGTGTGTGTGTGTGCACCCAATAATCATTAGACGGGCTGCACAGTGGGCCTAATCGCATTACATTTGCCGGTTCGTTAGGTGAATGTGATCAACATGTTCCTTGTGCCCTTGTCCCTAGAAAATTATCGCAAACAACGCATTTGTATGCGACGCGCCAAAATCTGTATAACGGTGCATACACATTTTCCCGGGGCGTCAAAGTTTTGCATGCGCAATTGCAATCAATGCAGCCGGTCCTCATTTACAGTTATCGTTGGTGTAGTCGCAGTTCCCGTTAAAAACCGCCCAGTGCTGACCTTTGCCCTTTGAACGCTTCTTTTCTGGTCTTTCGCTGTGTTTAAATCTAATTTTTGGTATTTATCCAAACAAAACATTCAACTAGCATGCTTTGTTTACATTTGCAAAATTATTTGAAATTCGAAGATTTCTTAGAAATATTGTCCAGTCATGAATAGTTTTCCATGTCAGTTCTGGGATGATGTCACATTTTAAGGGACGGACTTTTCATGAAAATGCATTCTAATAAAATTCTAATAAAATAAAGGGTTATTTGTACACTTAAACGAATAAAAATATATGTTTTTACTGTATATTTTAGAGAGGAAAAAATAGATTTTGTAAGCTCTAAAAATAAAATCTTTTTGTTGAAACCTCCATAATATCTTCCCATTTTTTTATTATTAGATTAGATAATTATTTTTTAAGTATGTTTGTGCTGAAAAATAAAAGCGATAGGACTCATAGATAGATTTCCTGGAACTATGAACTCTTGAAAAATAGATAGTGTTGTTATGTTTAAATAAGCTTTAACTATAAAATTTAAAAAAAGTTTAAAAGTAAATATTTACATATACATATGTATAAAATAGAAGTTAAACAATAAAATAAAAGTCAAATAAACTGTTCTTTCATATTAAAAAACAAAAATAACAACACTTTTTTGGATACATGTTTGAATATTTCCTTAAATTAGAAGGTCCTATTTTATAAACAAATGTATATTATATATGTATATAATAATATTACAGTTGAAACCTAACACAGTGTCAATGCATATATGTACATACATATAACGCAATAAAGTCCAGTGCATTAGTATAAATAATTAATTGAAATTGCCGCCAGCCGATTTGCCAATCAATGATGCAGCAATGCCCAATGCCGAGCAGCCCTGATCAAATTTGTATCACTAAGTACCCAACACTTAATCGCACGCGTTGGAAAATATCAACAATAATAAAAATTACAATTAGAAATGGGGAGTACAAGACCCGGCAAAAAAAGGGCAGATAAGGATGACGAAAAAAGGTTAAAAAGCTTTAAAAAAAATTTAAAAAAATGATGTACCTAACATTATTTTTATTTATTTTATTACTTTAAAGTTCTGTTAAATTAAAACTAAATTTAAAAATCATTAAAAATATGTTGTACCTTAAAAAAGGAATACGAATTAAATATTTTTGGCTATATATAAAAGGCTTAAATGGCAACACTGACACCCTGAGAGTGGTGGTTAGTCACAAAAGTAAACAATATATAATGTATAGTTTAATGGAGTGCAGGGACTTGTTAAAGTTATTAAAATATGACTCAGAATGATTAGACAAGATTGTGGCTTGGGAGTTTTTTTTCTTTCACAATGATACACATACAGGTCGTACTTAGCTTAGATTTAATTACTTAATATATTGCAAAAACTTAAAATTTAATAGTTTGACCTTTTAAAGCAATGTACTTGCCCTTCCAGGGTAACAGCCTTCTCAGGGTATTACGATTTTAGTCAGAAGTTTAAAGGAGCCAAAACGGAACATAAATGTAACCATTAAACAAATTTTTAAGGACATACTTAATTAAAATTACTAAAAATTTAAACAAATAAATTTATTTTCTTTTTTTTTAATTTTAATGTCCTTTTGCTGGCTTGTGAACCTAATAAATTCTAAACCAGAACTGCATTTCGAATGAAAATTAAAGTTCTTTTGGCCTAGTTATAATATTTAAAAATCTTTAATTTACCCAAAAAATTATTGTTTAAAAATATCTGTTTTATTATAAGTGTTATTGGTGGGATAAGTTATAGGGCATGAACAAAATTCAAAACAAATTTTAATCACTTGTTCAAAATGTTATAAATTATATTTGTTAAAAATTTAAAAAATCAAATTAATTTGTAAAATGTTAATCTCCATAATATGCTAATAAAAACCAATTGCAAGCTGCAAGGGTATTGAAGCTTTGGCTTCCAGAAGAAGGGAAGCTTCCCTGAATTACCCAGTAACTAACGCGTGCCGTTAGTTTATTGGATGCAAGATAATGGGCGCCCATTATCATCGCCATCCACTCTCGCCGAGAACTAATCAGTTGGCGAATTGTGAGCTCCTTCTTTAATGCGCGTCACATGTCAAAATGTCAGGTGCCATTGCGTACACCCGATGATTCATCGAAGTACTCAAATGATTAGTCATATGATATGCTGTTCTCATGATCAATAGGAGTAAGTAAATGGTTATTGCTTTCGGTGCATTCTCAGAAAAAAAATTCCATATCAGTTATTCAGTTTACGCTTTTATTTTATGTTTGTGGTTGTTTAACACTATTTATTTCAGAAGTGTTTGAATCTCAATTGGGGAGTTCTTTTTTAAACAATATTTAGGATAATGGTATTTATATTTTGTGCAGCTATTTTGATGAAACTTTACCAGTAGTCTTCTTCTTATCGTTCAGCTCCAATATAAACGATCTCAAGTTTAATGTCACAATGAAATTATAAAATAATCAAGCATACTAACACACAATTAAACTAGTCACATTTTTAATCACTTTCATCAGGCTTTCGGTACAAACCTAGTACAGTCCACCGAATATTTATGATCGCTGATATTACGGACCGTCGTTCATATAGATCGGGCGAATATAAAACGTGTTTGCACTCTGCATTTACTAATATAAATTTAACAGGTGCGATATAATAGCCCGATGTCATAGTTACCGTTAAAACGGCTCTTGTGATAAGCAGCGAGGAAATAACAGGTGTTTGTGGGAATTTCGTTGAAAGTAATCAGAGTCCTACTGCTATAATGTCCAAAAAAGACTTCATCTTATCACAAGAGTAACCGAATTTTGGCGCATGACCACTAGAGATTCGCAATAATGCAGTCGGGTTACCTCTTACTAAGTATGTATATGCAATATTGATCACACTCGATAAGGCACTTGGCCAATGATAATGGATAAGGGTAACGCGTTCCGGATGATTCATCATTTGGGCGTGTGAAACGATTTATTCGACGACTTTGAGCACTCAAGTGGGTAAAAGTCTTAGTCATAATATCTTCTTGAATAGTTCATTCACATTACTATTTGCTAACGCTTTCAAAGGGGATTCCACCAGTTTAGCTATAATTTTGGAGTATAAACCATCTATTTTAATCTATTTTAAATTATATTGTCAACTAAGTTTACTTTCAGTTAAATATAAATATCACTATAACGTTGTATCGATTTATACGTCGTTTTATATATTGAACTTTGTCTTAAATTCCGATACAATAACGATATATCTGTTATGCCTAAGTGCAACTAAAATTGTTTCGCAGAGTGCACAAGAAATTCCCAAGTCTGAATTCTGTGGCACGCTACAATGTTGTTGCCCCAAAAAAGGCTGGAGGGAAATTCACCCAATAGTCACCCCAATGAGTTTGTGATTGTCATTTTTCTCACAATAAGAATAAATTAAAAATGTAATAAATCGATACATAGTAATTAAAAATTGATACGACCTACTTTTCTCTCCTGAATTTCAAATCATTTGTTTTGGAGTTACGATGGACTTTAAGAATAAGTTAGTATGTGCGTGCATAACTACTTGAAATATGTATTTGGGAAATCAACACAAGTTTAAATCCTTAGGATATTATCTATAGGAACTTATTCTTATTTTCCGATAAGGTCACACCAAAAAAGTTAATTATTTGTCTTAAATAAGTGTTTATCAGCAATAGTTATTTATTTATATTATCGGTCAACAATAAGTTACTTATTTAGGCTTAAAAGGCTTTAACAAAGAAATCGTATTCGTCCTTAAAGGTTATGTTTATTCAGGGGAATATTACAATTACTTAGAGGTATCCTTTTAAGCCTTTCACATTGGTCGGGGCCAATAAATGCCATTTCAATTAGCCATAATTAACATACATAACTCTTCATTGAGTAATAGATCCACTGGCGATATATACATACACATGTACTATGGGTTTATGGGCACCCCAGACATCGACATCCCTCTCCATCGATAGTGATTCGAATTCGAACTCAGACATATGTCCGCTTGTTAAGTGTGGGGGTACTTGCTTATCATTTTTTAGCCGCGGCCAAAACCAATAAATGCTATTCGCTTTATTGCGTTAGATTGTGTTCTATTGATAAAAAGGGAAGATTGCCTTACGGCGTGGTTCAGTTCGAAACTGTCCGCAAGCCGAAACGGTCGAGTGTCCGCCGGAGCTCTCATTCGATTTTTTTTTTTCGATTTCACGGTTCTCATATATTATTCCTTTTTTTTTTATTTGTTGTTGTGCCGTGTGAGACACTTTTTTGTTTGGCTAAGCTTCGGGGTAAGTTGCGTGGCAGGTGGAAATGCCACAGCCCACTCCCCCCGTTTATCATTCTGGATTTATGCCACTTTATCTCTCTGTTTATTCCTGATCTACACGCGTGTGTGTGTTTTATTTTTTGCGATTTTTTGCGCTCTGATAGCCGTGGGTGTAATTTTAGTAACTGGATAATAGAACCAATAGTGTCATGAGTTGGGAAATTCCCGCAAATCGATTGGAGCTTTGTAAAAACGTTGGATTATTGTCCACCTTGCTTTCTAACTACATATCTTTATATATATGTATATGTATATAGGTTCTCAGGCGGCTTTGTGGATTATCATTAGTAGTAAAAGTATATGTCTATATATTATATATATGCTATCCGTTTAGGGATGGAACATAGCTTCATTTTTATACAAAAGTTTAATATTCAAAGTGAAAACAAATGAAGTATTTTTTTTTATTGTTTATAATTTTGTTGTATATTTTTTCAGTAAACAAAATGTTATTTTCATATTTAAACTGTATATATATATGGAGTACATATTTGCCTTATATCATGAAAAAATATTAATAAATGAAATAATTATTACCATTGTTTTCCTAAATAAATTCCATTAATTTAATTTAAAACTTGCTTACATTAAAAAGGAAACAAATATTTAAATTCTTAAAATAATCGATTAAAATCGATTAAACGCAATGTTATAAATAATCTAAATATTCTACCAAAAAGAGGCACATATATTTCAATTTATCATAACTATTATTCACATTATATTTCCGGCAGTCATAGAAAACACTTCCTCGGAAGCATGCCGGTCTATAAATTGCTCAGCTTATCGTAACGCTATTGTGCATTCAACTTTTATTTTATGCGAATCATCCTTAGATCAGCAACTTTTCATATTGAGCTGCCCAGACAGTAAATGTTTATCAGAAACCCGTTGCTAGCTTCGGTTTTAATTTTAATTTAACTTCCAGTTGTTAACTGTTTCTCACTTACTTAATTGGGTTTAGCCAAAGCGAAGAGTACTTACTAAAATTAGGTGTCAGGCCATATACAAAAAGATTAAGAGTCCAGACGATTTGAGTGCATTTGATAATGCAAACCAGAAATTGAAGCTATAAAATACAAAATCCCATAGCAAATAAAAGAGTTGCATATTTATTGATGATATTTCCTTGTAAAATACTCCTGAATACCCATTATTTTTGTTGCATTATTTTGTTATAATGCCTTGTAAATTGATAAACACACTCACTCTCTCGTTTATGGGGGCTATCCCATTTGACCTTGTATAATTTCAACGAGTTAATGGAGCTTAATTGAAACAACCGATACGTTAGTGTTTACAAAAGTTATGATTTGATTTACCTGGGTCTTATCAATCCAAACATAACCAACAATGTTTAGATAACTTGGGCCGTACTTCAGCTAGTCTCTATAGATGGATAGATAGTACTATGTACTTGACATTGCACTGGTAATAGGCACTTTGGACATGCTATTATTGAAGTTGTTTATTTGTTTATTTCCGGACTTCCTTGATAAATATCTTAAATATTTCCTTAGTTCCTAAAATAGAGAGCTCTAGAGAGTTAAACTATAATAATCAGTGTAAACATATGTCCTTTTTGTAAGACTACAAGTGCATCAAGTTGCTTATGCCATAAGTTTCTTCAATTACGATTCATGACTATCCCCTTTTCATAAAGAAATAATATAATCAGATTTATCACATTATAATTGAGTATTTATTTTCGTTTTTCTTGCAGCAACTAATTTTAAGCGATTTTAATGTTGAGCTAGTCTAAAGCTTAAGCCAAAGCCACAACGAACAAAGTCTCAAAATGGCCAAGGTAACAAACTGGGACAAATTTGTGCTGTTGCTGTGGAAGAATTGGACCCTCCAATGGAACCACAAGTGGCAGATGGTCATCGAGCTGGTGCTGCCAGCTATATTCTCCTTGCTTCTGGTCTTGGTCCGCACCCTGGTTGACACGGAACAGATGGACACCAAATTATATACATCGCAAAATATTACAGATCTGAGTCTGTTGAAGTGAGTTTTCTGTTTTAGACAATAATCGCGATGCCTGTCTATGCTGTCTTTAGATTTTGCCTCTTTACTTAATTAGCTTTTGTAGGCCTTTACCTGATACCTTTTATATTTATTTACATTTATTTATGATTTAATTTTTATGATATTAGTATTTGTATTATTTTTTATGTATTATGTAAAGGTTGATTTCTATGTCTTATTTTACCTTTTTTACATTAAAAATAAAATTCTGAATTTATGTTAACCTCGGATATCCATACATTCAAGTAATATGAAGTTTCATATAATATATTTTTATGGAAAACAAAAAATATACAACAATTTCCATATCTCGGAAAATATGAAAATATTTTGAACATGTACAAATTTATCATTTCGACTATAATAATAATTTACTTATCGTTTCTATACATGCTTATTATACGCCTTGATTTATATATTTTATCCCATTTGCTTATTTTGCAATGCTTCTTCTGCTACATTTCCTAATTACTCCTAGAACTGTTTATATTAAATATACGTCCAATGTTTTCTGTATTGTTCTCTCCACCAAACCTGAAGACATTCGTTGCATAGTTCGTCCTACCTTGGCAAGCTTCTAGCGCTGATTGCACCCAATCGACGGAGGTAAAAAGAAAAAAACACAAGAAAAGAACACCAAATAAACATTCAACACTGTGACTAACCAATTGCAATTGACACTTTAACAAAATTTGTATATTTAAAATACAGCAAAATAAATTACTTTACAAGATAGATAAAGACCTTCAGTGAGAGTATAAGTAATTAGGAATAAATTGTTTAGTTAGTAACCCAACCTTCCTGAAGATTGCTTAAGTCTTAGCAATTTTATTTTCTTTAACAGTTTTAAATTAAAGTATAAAGTATATTTCAAATTTTTGTGTAGGTTAAAATGTTGTCAAATTTCCAAGATATAGGCTGCCGAAGTTCTACTCTGAAAAAGAGGTAGTGTCAAGGTCAAGGTGTAAAAAGAAAACTACCTGACCTATACAAATGATTTGAAACCGTCACGTGGTTCAAGCCCCGTAAATAAATTTAAAGATTTAAGTTATTATAAAGATTCTCATACATAGGCTTTAGTAGAGGGGTTAAGAAACCCTTTTTCTACCGATAACTCCGATAACTAACAAAAAAACAGCAAATTTCTTTGCCCGGTTTCTGCCGATTCGACAAAGGGCTTGCTGTTTTTTTATACATTATTAAATATTGAATACTTATAAATATTTTTTAAACACTTAAAAATGTAAACTAATGGTTCGAACCACTGCTGTGCGATAATTTCGATTAATTGGTGACTAATCGGTATCGGTTTGTAGGTAGAATATTTTACTAAAAACTAAGGTTTAACCAATTAGTGACGAAAACTAAAACTAAATAAATGAAACTCTACCCACTAGCACTCAGGTAAACTAATCCAAACTAAACAAAATCAATATTTAGGCTTAATTTGTGTGATAATTAGACTTTAAAGTACCCAAAAATTAATATAATGCTTTTGAAATCATTTTCCAAATGCTTAGGAGCACGCTGTCGGTGAGCAACTTTCAGTACGCGGTTTACTACTCGCCCACCAATCCGGTGCTGGAAAAACTGGTCACCGAGGCATGGACCAGCCTCCAGATGTCCGAGAACACGATATATGCCTCGACAAATGCCGCCCAACTGCAGACGGATGTGGTTGGAAAGAATGCCTTTGCCGGCATCCAGTTCGACGATGCCTGGGCAAATGTCACGAATATTGCCCAGCTGCCGCAGGATTTTCACTTCGCCTTGCGCTTTCCGTCGGAGCTGCGAACGGCAACGATAGCGATAGCAAACACCTGGCTGACCATGCGACTCTTTCCCACCATCGATCTGACGGGGCCGCGTAACGAGAAGGATGAGGATGGGGGTATACCGCCGGGATATCTACGCGAAGGTTTCCTGCCGCTGCAACATCAGCTATCGATGGCGTACATCAGGCAGAGATCGGGGGAGCAGGAACTGCCGGAGGTGGTGATGCAACGCTATCCATATCCGGCCTACATATATGATCCGCTGCTGGAGGGCATGTCCTCGATAATGTCACTGATCATCTTGCTGAGCTTCATCTATCCGTGCACGTACATCACCAAGGTAAGTCTCCGAGAACGGGAACGAATCGCACAGATCCATATCTGTATCTGTATCCTTCTTGTGTAGTACATCACCGCCGAGAAGGAGAAGCAGCTCAAGGAGGTGATGAAGATCATGGGGCTGAGCAATTGGCTCCATTGGACCGCCTGGTTTGTCAAATCCTTCATCATGCTGACCATTTCGGCCATTTTGATTGCCATCCTAGTCAAAATCAATTGGTCTGAGGATGTGGCGGTGCTAACGCATGCCAATTTCACTGCATTGGTCTTCTTCCTCATCATATACATCATTGCCAGCATCTGTTTCTGCTTCATGATGGCCACCTTCTTCTCGCGTGCCAGCACGGCTGCCGCTGTCACGGGCCTGATATGGTTCATCGCCTACATCCCGTACTCCTTCACCATCAATACCTATGACGACCTGAGCTTGACCTCCAAGCTGGGCTGGAGTTTGATCTCGAACACGGGCATGGGCTTTGGCATTAAGCTGATATTGGGCTTCGAGGGCACCGGCGAGGGCTTGCAGTGGAGTAACTTCTTCACTCCGGTGTCCGTGGACGATACCCTGACTCTGGGCGCTGTGATGATTATGATGCTGGTGTCCTGCTTCATCTGCATGACCATCTGCCTGTATGTGGAGCAAGTGATGCCGGGCAGCTTTGGTGTTCCGCGTCCCTGGCACTTCCCCTTCAGCCGGGAGTTCTGGTGCGGCGAGCGGGAGTACACGGGCGTGGAGGATATACCCAATGGAGGACCTACCCGGGAACAGCGGGATCCCAAGGCTTTCGAGGCGGAGCCGGAGGGAAAGCATATCGGCCTGCAGATGAGAAACCTCAAGAAGCGCTTTGTGGCCGACAAGATGGTGGTGAAGGGTCTGTCCATGAATATGTTTGAGGACGAGATCACCGTTCTGCTGGGACACAATGGTGCCGGCAAGACCACAACCATATCGATGCTGACCGGCATGTTTCCGCCGACGAGTGGAACGGCCATCATAAATGGCAGTGATATTCGCACCAACATCGAGGGCGCCCGCATGTCCCTCGGCATCTGTCCGCAACACAATGTCCTCTTCGACGAGATGAGCGTATCGAATCACATTCGGTTCTTTAGCCGCATGAAGGGTCTCAAGGGCAAGGCCGTGGAGCAGGAGGTGGCCAAGTATCTGAAGATGATCGAGCTGGAGGATAAGGCGAATGTGGCATCTTCGAAACTCTCTGGCGGCATGAAGCGCAAACTGTCCGTTTGCTGCGCCCTTTGTGGCGACACAAAGGTGGTTCTCTGCGATGAACCGAGTTCCGGCATGGATCCATCGGCTCGTCGCCAGCTGTGGGATCTGCTGCAGCAGGAGAAGATCGGACGCACCCTGCTATTGACGACACACTTCATGGATGAGGCCGATGTCCTGGGCGATCGCATTGCCATCATGTGCGACGGTGAGCTCAAGTGCCATGGCACATCGTTTTTCCTGAAGAAACAGTATGGCTCCGGATATCGTTTGGTAAGTCTATCAATGGGGAATTTACGGGGAGAATAAGATAGGTAACTCAACCAATATTATACATCTTAAAGTAAGAGCAAAGATTATATAAAGCATAAGATGCGTAACGCCATACGCTTTTTCAACAAAGAACTCTCTAAAAAGACTCCAATTCTCAACTAATTCTATTATTTTCATAATCTTAACCCCCCCCCCAGATCTGTGTTAAACGCGATGATTGTCAGACGAACGAAGTGACAGCGTTGCTAAACAAGTTTATTCCCGGTATAAAGCCGGAATGCGATATCGGTGCAGAATTGTCCTACCAGCTGCCGGATAGTGCATCCGATAAGTTTGAGGAGATGTTTGGCCAGCTGGAGGATCAGTCCGATGAGTTGCACCTCAATGGCTATGGCGTTGGCATCACCTCCATGGAGGAGGTCTTTATGAAGGTGGGCGCTGAAAAGGATATATCTGGCAATGTAAAGGATCCCAGTGAGATAATGAACGGCGGCACCGGTTATCATCCATCGGGCGAGGACAATGACAACGAATCAGTGCAGTGTAAGCAGTGCTTGAACTCGATCTCGTATTAATTGGTCTTCTGATAAGCTCAATTAACTGTTTGCAGCCGATGGCATCTTCTCGGAGAACCGACGCCTGCTCCAGGGACTGCAGCTGCTGTCCAATCAATGGAAGGCTATGCTCCTCAAGAAGTTCCTGTACACGTGGCGTAACAAGTTGCTCCTGCTCATCCAGAATATAATGCCCGTATTCTTCGTGGTGGTCACCATTCTGATTATTGAGACGCAGGGAACGTTCCAGGAGCTGAAGCCTATCACCATGTCTCTGACCCAATATCCATTGGCTGTCACCGTTCTGGATCGTTCCAGTGCGACCAACTCGATCAGCTCAGCTTATGCCAATCAGTACGAGGCTTTGGCCAAGTCCCATGGCAGTGACTATGCTCTCGAAGTGACGGGTACTGCGAGCTTTACGGTAAGTGTTTATAATCGTGTCTGTTTTTTTTTTTTTTTTTTTTTAGATTTAGATTTGCTCTTTCAATTATTCCGGCTCTTAGAACTACATCCTTGAGCTTGGAAAGACGATTCAGGTGCGGATCAATTCACGCTATTTGGTGGCCGCCAGCATCGCCGAGTCCCGGATCATCGCCTGGCTGAATAACCAGGCCCTGCACACAGCCCCGCTGACCGTCAACATGGTGCACAATGCCCTGGCAAAGCAATTACTTGGTGCGGATGCCCACATAGCGGTGACGAACGCCCCCTTGCCATACACGCCGAATACGCTGCTCTCGCAGCTGAGCACCGGCAACAATCTGGGCACCCAGCTGGCCTCCAATCTGTGCTTCTGCATGTGCTTCGTCAGCTCCATATACATACTGTTTTTGATCAAGGAACGCGAATCGAGGGCCAAGCTGCTACAGTTTGTGGGCGGCGTTAAGGTGTGGACCTTCTGGCTCTCCCAGTTTATCTGTGACTTTGCCACCTACATTGTGACGGCTCTGATTGTGGTGATCACGATCGTTTGCTTCCAAGAGGCGGGCCTGTCCACCTTCCCGGAACTGGGTCGATACTTTTTGCTGCTGCTGCTCTTTGGGTTCTCCGTTCTGCCGTTTATCTACATCATGTCGCTGTTCTTCAAAGAGCCGGCCACGGGTTTTGCCCGCGTCTCCATTGTCAACATCTTTTGCGGCATGGCCTTATTCATAGTCGTCGTGGTGATGTCCTCCGATTTCTTTGACACAAAGGATACGGCGGATATCTTGGGCTGGATCTTCCGCGTCTTCCCCCACTTCTCATTGGCAATGGGCTTGAATAAGGTCTATACCAATACGGCGACGAGGAATGCCTGCGAGAAGGTATCAGCGATACCTCCCATTCTTCTCTGCGAGTTGATACCGCAGTGTTGCAGTAAGTAATTACATTAATTATTTAAGTAGTAAGAAAATATTTTGAAATTTAATTACATTTTCTATAGATATCAAGCCTTATTTTGCCTGGGAAGCGCCTGGAGTTCTCCCCGAGACTCTCTACATGACTGTCACCGGCGTTGTCTTCTTCCTCATCATCATCATTTTGGAGTTCCGCCTGATCGGAGAACTGATGTTTAAAATCCGCCAATTGTTATCGTAAGTATATAACGAGGGATGCCACAAAATATCAATATATTGAAGCGCTATCGATTTTTTTAAATTCGATATATTTTAGTTTTTTTTTTTTGTAAAATAATGCTAAATGCGATATATTTCAATAACATTTCAATACATGAACTTTTTTAAATATTTTTTTTAATACAAAAATAATTCATTTCCTATTCCTTTTGAAATTAATCTCATATTTTTATCTAATTTCTGCTTTTCTTTATTATATTTGTATTATTTTATTTATAGAAAACCACCTCCTCCTCCACCTGAGGGCCACTTGGATGATGATGTGGCCCACGAGCGTGAACGCATCCTTCACATGAGCTCCGATGAGCTGGCCGCTAAGAATCTGGTCCTGGATCGGGTCACCAAATACTATGGACAATTCCTGGCTGTCAATCAAGTGTCGCTCTGCGTGCAGGAGTAAGTTATACAATGTATACCATTATAATTTAAATCGTAGGGTTTTTTTTATGGGAATTGTAATTTTATTATTTAAACAAGTGTGAGCATGTCCTTATTACATATTTGTTTTTGTAACAGTTGCATTGTTGACCAAGTTATTAGACAAATTTAACCTAGAAAATAATATTGTCCCCACATTAGGTAGAATAATAAATAATTGATTTCCTTCCATAGAGTGGAATGTTTTGGCCTCTTGGGCGTAAACGGAGCCGGCAAGACGACAACATTCAAGATGATGACCGGCGATGAGCGTATCACCTCCGGTGCCGCATATGTCCAGGGCCTGAGCCTGGAGTCGAACATGAACAGCATCTACAAGATGATCGGCTACTGTCCGCAGTTCGATGCCCTGCTGGACGATCTGACGGGTCGCGAGGTGTTGCGCATCTTCTGCATGCTGCGTGGCGTCCAGGAGTCGCGCATTAAGCAGTTGTCCGAGGATTTGGCCAAATCCTTTGGCTTTTTCAAGCACATTGACAAGCAGACACACGCCTATAGCGGTGGCAATAAGCGAAAGTTAAGCACGGCGATAGCTGTGATCGGTAGTCCGTCCGTAATTTATCTGGATGAACCCACAACCGGCATGGATCCGGCTGCTAGGCGACAGCTCTGGAATATGGTCTGTCGCATCCGAGACTCGGGCAAATCGATTGTCCTTACCTCGCACAGCATGGAGGAATGTGAGGCGCTGTGCACGCGACTGGCCATAATGGTCAATGGTGAATTCAAGTGCATTGGATCGACGCAGCATTTGAAAAACAAATTCTCCAAGGGTCTCATTCTTAAGATCAAGGTGCGTCGCAATATGGAGGCATTGCGGCAGGCGCGATTGAGTGCCGGCTATGCGAGAAGTCCGGATGAGCCAACGGTTCCGGCACAAATGGAGCAGCAGAATATTGATGCCGTCAAGGAGTTTGTTGAGCGCGAATATCCAAACTCGATTTTACAGTGAGTATATTTCTACCCGTATATTCTTCATATATTTCTCATATGTAAAGGCTTCTGAGAGCCTTCAATGCTTCTGTACATAATTATATTATTATATTTAATGAATTATTATTATTTTAATTTTAGGGAGGAGTACCAGGGAATTTTAACGTTCTACATTCCATTAACTGGCGTTAAATGGTCGCGCATTTTCGGCCTGATGGAGAGTAATCGTGACCAGCTGAATGTGGAGGATTACTCCGTTAGCCAGACGACGCTGGAGGAGATCTTCTTGGAGTTTGCCAAGTACCAGCGCGAGGACACGCGTGCCAATCAGTGAGCTAGCCTCCCCCCCTCTCCCAAAAAGAAAAAAACCTTAGATCCAGTGTTGATAACACCATCTGGCTTATAAGCGGGCTTCTCGGCTTTTTGGCTTCATCCATCAACCAACCTGTTGCATCGCACAAAAAGAAAACAAGTCAAGCACACAGCAGCACAGATACACTTTCCTCGCTCATATCAACGACAGCACAGCATAGCAAATTCCCAAAATTTTATTATTAACGATTTTATGTTGTAGTTGGTAGCTAACCCATATATCCAGGCCTCAACCATTCAAACGAGCTAACTTCGCCGCATGCGTAGATCACGTAGAAAAGCTAACAGATGGAGTATTTTATGTTTTATTTTTCAGTGTGTCCCAAGCTACTAATTGTTAACTTGTGTAATGTTTGTTCTCTCTTTCGATTCCCCAAAAATATATACATATAACCAGCAGCCTGTCCGAGTTGAGGAAGCTGTGCCAGTGCCTGCTAGCCAATGAGTATTGAGTACCTGTACGAAACTGTTCCTCACCTGAACTAATTACCTACACTCATGTACACAAACGATAATGTTTTATACAACGCCGATGCCTCAGCAGATAGTTTCTAAGCTCGAGACCAGACAATAGATAGCAGAGATTATGCCTTATTTTCTTGTGATCATCTAGCAAAATTTACACATTTAAGAACAGAGATTTGTATAATGTACTATAATATAATATATATATATATATATATTTATGTATATCTGGTTGACCTGCACACACACACACACGTACATAATGTTTTAATTTTTACATTTTTTCGCCCTAAAAGTATTCCCAAATTTGTTGCATCGATGTACTTAGAAGCGTGTAAATAGGTCAATTTTATTGTGGCACAAACCCTACGATACATATGTACGAGAATTTACCAAATAATGTTTTATGTGTACTATACAAATTAATTAAATTTTATCTAAACGTAAACGAAAACAAAAACAAAAGAAAAAACGTTTAATGGGACTTGTGACCGGGGAAATTGAAGATTGTGGAAACTTCTTCGGGAAGAATATATTTGATTTATATATTTACGATAAAGACAAATAAATAATAAAAAAAATAAAATAAAACTCACACAACAATCGAAACATGGTTTATTTCATTTTTATTCCAAATATTTGAACCGTGCTCTGGCTGAATTGGAAAGTTATGCCAGTGCATATGTGGCGTACAGATCTAGAATGCGTGAGAGTAGGTGTTCACTCATACAGTAGTTGGATGCTGTTATATGTGTAGAAGAGAGTTCTCTCTCTCTCTCTCTCTCTTTCTCTCTGACTGTAAGTTTGTAAAATTTTAATAAATATCAAGAGTATTGGTCGTTCAGTGCTCTTATTTGATCTATTCTTTTCATTCCCTTTCAATAACAACTTATCGAGATCGATACTATTTCGCAAACTGTGAGTCAAAGGATCGACTAGGAAAGTGATCAGGCTTTAAAGAGCCTAAAATAACATCTATAATTTGGTATCAAATTAACCATTACTATTACGAGTGAAATATTTATATATCATCGGTAAAATATATAAAAACATCATCAAAAATTATTGTATTTTAAAAATGTTTATTAATTTATGGAAAAATAATCAATCTAATTCATAAAAAATAGGTTTTTATCGTCATACTAGTCACCTCTTATTGCGGTTACCTTATTCTTTTACCTCTTTATGTATAGGTAATATAAGTCTTTCAGCTCCTACACCCTAAAGCCCCACTTGTCGCCTGTTTTCGATAGCTCTTATTTCTTTTCACTTTGCACTCCCTTCGAGCTGCTGGTCATCCTTACTTTATATAGCCATACATACATATGTATGTCAATCGCATGTTGATTTTTGGCAACATACAGGCGTATTTATTTATCCTTTGGCATAACGTTTTTATTGCATTCTAAAGCAAACAAATGACAATAAAAGCTTTTACGAATTCCTCCAAATAGAAAAGCAAAAGAGAGCTCAGAGCGGACATTAAAATAACACGAAGAGTACTGTAGAAAAAAATGTGTTTTAAAATCCAGGCGAGGAGATGAAGGCTTAGAAGAGATGCTGGGTTAGGGTATAGTCAAAATAATGCACTTTTTCTATCACTATGTTGCAGCCACCTACATACAATATATTCTTGAAAAACATTTTTTTTTTTTACTACTAAAATAATTTAAATAATTTGTATATTAAAAAAAAAAGGATTATATTATTGAAACTTGATGAAAATATATAAAAATCAAAATTAATAACAATATATAAAATAAGTAAAGCTGAAAAATTTTTTACAGAACATTTCAGCTGTTTGTTTCTTAATTTTATTTACTTACAAATTACTTAAATTTAGAAAAAAATACTAAAGAAAAACCTTAATAATACAACTTAAGAATTTGTTTCATATTTAACCCCTAAGAGCTAAAATTAAACTCTACATCTTAATTGTTTATTTTGTAGAGCATTTACAGTTCGTAGATTTTCACTGGACCCCATTTAATTTGTTGATGTTTCCATACACTCACGTTTTTGGTGTCGTTTCCATTTTCATTCGTTTCTTGGACTCTCAGCGCTTCACATTGAATTGCATTTATTGACCGAAGAAATATTTTATTACTTTACGCTTGGCAAATATTAGTTGCCCATCGCCCATGGCGGGCTGTTTTGGTCGCTAAAGGAGGAATTCCTTCATTCTTTCTTCTTATTTTTTTTTTTCCTATTTTTGTTGAGGATGGAAGGAGGGCTTACAGCAAATTTGTTGTCATTGACGCAGGCAGCAAAATGAAACGATGATGTCCCTGTCCCTGTCCTGGCTAATATATCCGGCCTGGTTTTATCCCCCAACCCTCCTAGAACTCCCTGCCCTGACCATGGCACTTTCTCACTTTGATTTCTTGCCAACGCTCTTTTTTTTATCCTTCTTGTACACTGCGAAAAAATAATTCATATTATGTTACTTTTAGTTGGAAAAAATGTACAGATTAGGGCTTTGGAACATCGTTTTAAATGTCCCTTAAATTAAGTACCAGTTATTTTGTCAAAAAAAATTAAATATTTATGTAAAAATAAAAAACGATAAATATATATAATTTAACATTAATTGCGATACATTTCGATAAATAAGATTTGTATTCTTTTCGATATCTACCTCTATTCGTAAAGTTTTAATCAATTTTTTGGGGCAAAAAATACAATAAAAACATTTATACATACCCTTTGCTTTTCAGATCTATCTCTGTTCAATGTCTGAAATTTCGCTCAGTGTACTCTCTTTTCTTCTTTTTTTTTGGGACTCGACGAACTTTTGCAAATATTTTGGTTATAGCCGAGATTTGCGTGCCTTGCCAATGGTTTTGTTTGTTCTGCTATGTCCAGTCATCCTACTATTGCCCTCTGTTCCCGCGTTCCCATTTTCCTTCCCCCCTGTAGGGGTTAACCTCCCCCCCCCCATCTCTCCCGTTCCACCCATTCTCGCAACCGAATGTGGGTAATTCGGTCATAAATATGCGAACAATTTCAACCATTGTCCGAGGAGCATTTTTTGGGTGCGCATATTTGTCGCAAATGGACTACATTACAACATTACAGTTATCTTTTGATATACGAGAGTGTTAGTGTGTGTGGTACGTAATACCTCATAGAGGACATTACGGAGAGAAAGCCTAAATAAAGAAAGCCAGCAAAATATTCCATAATATGTATGTATGTGCGTACATTAGGGTGGACTCCTTAAAGGGAAAATATAAGGAATTTTTTAGTAAACTAGGAAAGAAATGTATTTGTAAGTTTTATTTTTGTTGATTTTTGAGTACTGCTTAAGCCACAAATCACTGCTGTTGTGTATAATTATAATATAAATATATTAAACAAATCCGCAAAGAAATCAATATTTATATTTTGTATATTTATTATATAAAATACTATTTAAATAAACTTACATTATTTAATTTATCTCACAAATTACTTTTACTATTAAAACAATGTCTGAATCCTTTGTAAAAACAAATATCAGTAAAGACCACACTGCGTATGAGTGATATTGCGCTTGCTACAATATTACTCATACGCCCAATCATCCATAATACAATTTGTACGCACAAAGAATTTGAAAATAATTTTTGTTATATGTAGGTTGACCTTAAATTTGGCAGGTGACTCAGTTCCACCCTAATTTACACACATATGTATAACTGTAGGTTTTATGTGCATAAACAAACAAAGGCCGCATAACATTAAAATGTAATACAAAAAGCCACAACAACAGCGACAGCAACATTGCATGTTTTGTGTTTTGTGCGATTAAAATTAAAACAAGCGGCGACATGTTGAACTTGAAAAATTTGTTGTGAGATGCTTATGACAAAAATAATAAAAATAAGCGTGACACCAATGTTTTTATACCCTTTTCTTAGACGTTGGTGAATTTTCTTGGAAATAGTTGCTCATTTTTGGGTAAGGTTAATTCTTTGATATTTTTGTATTATAGTGAATATAATTATATATAAATTTTATTTTAACTTTTGTCAAATTTTTGTGAAAATGACCTTTTTGCTTTTTAAATTTTAAAGAATTCTCTTAAATCAATTTATTATTTCTAGACCTTATAAATCTGTTATTAAAGCGACCTGTAACATTTTTAAAGTGTATCAAAACAAAAGCACGTGGACACAGATTGCAGTTGTGCGGGCGAGAGAGGTGAGTTTTAATAGTTCTAATAGCTCTGTCAATGTCAGAATAACTCATTTTGATTAGAAAAGTCATTGTACATATGTATTTAACACTCCATTCCAATTAAAATCGTTTTGTTGCTAACTTTCTTTTCACTGTCATTTCTCCTGCACCTTTCTTCTTCTGGTTTCCTTCTCTTCTGGTAGACGTGAGCATTAGATACAGGGTATGCAGATGGGTGTTGGTTTTTAAGATGGTTTGGCCAGGCATTGCCTAGATATTTATGAGATTGTTAAAGATTAGGCTTGACTTTGGAAGACTAAAAATAGGCGCAATTTGTATGAATATTTTTGTATTTATGAGGGAACTTTTAGATAATAACCTATTGTTTCATACTTAAGTACGGTTCTGTTTTTAATACGTAGCTCGTTTAAGGATTAGGAGATGTATTGGTACTGTATATAAAGCAAAGATTGAAATAATATTTAATAAATATATGAGTGCATTAAATTTGTTAATTTTATTAGTAAGATTACTAATATTGACGAAAAACAAAACAAATATATTGGTTATTATATAATTAGTGAATATTTTTCGCTAAAACCGATGACAACGATATTTGAGCACTTCTATCGCTCAAATTTTCGATATTTTAAAATTCGATATTTAATCGTTTTAAATATTTTCGGTATTTAATAATTCGATATTTAATCGTTTTCAATATTTTGTATTAATTTTGGTTTTTTTTTTTTATAATATTGATTTTGATATTTATTTCTTTAATAATTGAAATGTTAAATATAGCCAAGTTTCCGATATTTGCTATATAATAATGATATTTTCTACAGCCCAAAACAACCGCTGCTTGAAAATGTAAGCGGTATCCGAAGGCGATGCATTTTGACGCTTATAAAACAAACACACAGCCACACAAGCTGGCGAACGCGGTCGGTCACACATGCGAGCGCGACAAAAAATCAAAACAACAAAATCCACGCTGGAAACAGCTGCTTTGGCTTGGCATTGAAATCGGCGAGAGCTGGGGCCCCAAGAGAGAGAGAGAGAGAGAGAAAGAGGGGGGGCATGGGCCGGCAGGAGAGTGCAGGGCGAGAGCAAACGAGCAAGCGAGAGGCGCCACTGCGGATTGATGATGATGCGAGGCGGCCTGGCACGAAGGCCAAAAAGCCGAAGATGCCCGAGCCCGAACGGTTCATTTGGAGCCGAACCGGTTTTTGGCGCTACATTGGGGCTACATTGGCGCCTCAGTGCGAAACGAAGCGCTGATGTTGTCAGTTGTCTAGACACGGTTTTACCGCAATTTCCCGCAGTTCCAACGCAGCGTTTAGCGATTTTGACGCAAATTTCAAAGTACGTAAGCCGAGACCGTGATTTCACACAAAGCGCGTTTCGAAAAAAAACCCACACAAATAAGAAAGCAGCTAAAATACTGTATAAAAAAAAATAAATTTAAAAAAAAGAGATTTATCAAAAAGCATACTAAACGTACAATTAAAGTGCTAATGATTTGGGATTTTTTCTCACAAACATATTCCTATTTGTGTTGTATTAATTACCATTTTTTGTTCGTGTGCCATTAAGTCATCTTTCCAGCGAAAAAGTGTTAAACAAAACAAAATATACAAAAAAAAAAAAAAAACCAAAGTGAAGTCAACGTGAGACCGCCTACCGTAGTTACTTATTATTGTTGTTGTGCTCAATTAAAAATTATTTTGTATATAACCATTTTTTTTAAGTGTGTGTGTGTGAGTGATCGTGATCGTCATCTTAGCTTTTTCTCTTTCTTTTTTTTTCGCTCTTGCTAATTAGCAATTCAAATGGCAATTGTTGTTGCCGATTTTATTGATTGATTTCGATTGCAAAGAATTAAAATGTTCAAAACAAGCAAATGCATAAGCCAATTCAGGAAATGTTCTCAATTTGGAAATTAGTTCGGGAGATCTTGGTCGAGATCAAGAGAATGTCATTGAACTTGGGGAGCAGATTAGGGAGATTTTAGATATTTTCTTAAATATATTCTTTAAGCTTTTAGAAAGTCTGAAAGGGGAAGCCATGGAAACCTATAAGTGTTTGAAATTCGTTGAGGCAGTGTCCCAAAGTATTTTGTTGCATACTTTTAGACACCTTTTAAAACGGTTTTCAAAACACTTAAAGACAGTTTGATCTTGAAATCGGGCTTAATTGTAAAAAATAGTTAAGCTATATAACTTATTTAACTTAATTGCTTTAAATACATAAACAACAATAATTAAATATGTCAAAAATAGCTAAATAATAAATTAAATAATTAATTACACGACAAAGCCAACAGTTCTCTGAAATAGGAAACAAATTCTACCCACAATATTTTGAAATGTATTTTTTTATACAATATTTTAATAATATATATAAACTATTTGGTGATACATATATCTAAAATTTTAAAATGTAAATGAAATGTATAAGAAATCTAAATAAATTAACAGCATAGAAAGTAGAAAATTAGCCTTCTTGATGAAGTTAATATTCGAAAACACGATTTTTGAGATAATTTTGTAGTTTATATTATTCAAATCGATTTAGAGCAATTAACAAAATATAGAGGACTAATTGTAAAAGTGTTAGAAGATTAGCAAATAAAATCCTGTGCCCTAAAGTTAGAAATATTTTTCAAATTTTCAAAGTGTATTTCTCAGGTAAAAGTTTGAAATAGGAACATAATCCCGCTGGCAATTTCCCAGATTTCTTTTTAAGCTTCTCGCTGCTATATTAAATTCGGAAATTTAATTATTTATATAGTTTTTAGACCGACTTGTGTTACGCCACCAAATATATTTACATGGCTAATAATGCCTTTTCTTACGCCTGCGAAAGTGAGAGGGGATTCCCCCACAAACACCAAAAATAAGAAAAAAAAAGAAACCCCGGCCAACATTCTGCAGGCACTGCATATCGCGTCTTGGTCGGCGAACTATAAACATTAAATAACAATAATAACAACAAGAGCCGGGCAGAAAGTTGAAGCAGTTTGTCTAAGTGGCTTGGGGCTTTTGTCAAAGCATGGAAAATATAATACAATAGAACGTATATAGAAGCCACAGCAACAACAAACACAACAACAACAACAATAATAATAATAACAACGAGAGTTCGTCGCTGTTGTTAGCTCCAAAACACGCAACAGTCCGTCAGAATAAAGTCAGGCAGGCAGGCAGGCAGGCAGGCATCGTTAGAGAGCCTCTCCCTCTCTTCATCCCCCCCCCAATCTAGCATATATCCCATATTTCCATACATAGTCGTATATATACCCCCCGCCCCGTTAAACATTGCGTGTTCCGGGGGTCCCAGCATGAAGGACCCTCTCCAAAAGGGGGGATGCCAAGGGTCCGACTTCAAACAGCCAAGGCTCCAAAGCCCAAACTCCACTTTTCAATGGAAAAATCACTGAAAAAAAATGGATTAACAAATATAAAAAGGCTTGAAATTCTGGATATATAGATAGCAACAATTAATCTATATTTAATTGCCTTTCATAAGGTACTTTGAAAGCTAATAATAAATCAATGGACAAAGCAAAGCTAGCATTTGTTTACAGAAAAGTCAGAGATGACTTTTAAAACTAGAATATAAATTTGTACAGATTTTTTAAAGTAATTTATTAGCTGTTATTATATATTTCAAAAGATTCAAAATTTTGTTTTATATAAGACCTTAGCATTTAACTTTACTCTCAGTGTATGCTCAAACACTTATACTTATAAGCCTACATCACATATAGAGTACAATTTTTTCTATAATAAAATTTTCTATATTTTTTCCCTTCATATTTTTTTATTTTTTGTTTCTTTTTTTGTGTTTTATTCTTTATTTTTTGCTACCGCCGCCACCGCTGTGCAACGTTCCCGTTCTCCAAATCCGTGCCCGTACTTGCAACTGAAGAGTAGGTCAGGTCAGTATGTGATACTATTTAGTTGTACTTTACACATAAGGGGGGTTGTTTTGGGGTGTGTTTCTGCCCCCCGTGCCGTGTGTGCGGCAGGCTTATTAATTTACTGCGACTTTTGTTGCGTTGCTGCATTTCAACGAGAACGTCTTGGGCTCGGCTTGTTGCCGACAAATCAATCAGGAAAACTTGTGGGGAAACTCGAGAAAAACTTGAGGAAACTGAAGTAAACTTAAGAAATCTGATGGAAATCTGGGTGGGTAATTGCTAAATGCTTTTGACTCATGTCGGTTCCGTTTCAAAAATAACGAATCTATTTAAGAAATTATTGGAAAAGTTGGAGAAATTAATTTGTTAAATGTAATATATTTTTTTTAATATTTAAAATGAAAATTGGGAATATTTTCATATTAGGCATGTCTTTAGAAATTATCAATCCTTGTTTATTATTGAAACGAAAGTATGTTTTAAGTATAAATATTTATTTATTACTCATATTTCATTTATTTTATTGATTTGATTAATAACTCAAGGGAAAAGTATTTAAACAAGAAAAACGATAACACTTGTTGTTCTAAAATGAATTAAATTTACACAAATATTTAACGTTATACATATTTTAACAAGCTTCAAATAAGATCATTAATATATCCATCAGTAAATTATAAAATATTTATTCCTATAGACAACTAACCCGTTCAACCTCGGGAATAATTAACAATTTTCCCCACAATAAATAATACCAAAAAAACAACAACAACTATGAACAAATTCAATTAGACTTCGCCTAACTATCGACCAAAATCAATGAAATAATGATTCCATAGCCGAAAATTATATCGCTATTATGCAAAACGAGCCGCAAACTTTTGCCGGGCAAAAAACTTTGGCAACAAATAATAATTTCTATGAAGCTAAGTTATATTCGATTATATTTTCCTAACCGAACCCCACACGCATATTATTTGCAACTTTTTGTATTTTTTTTTTTTTTGGGGGAACGAGAAAGTTTTGCTGACTCAAGCAATTAGCTGCGATTGAAAGTTGTGTCTACTTGGAAGAGACTGGAGGTACAAAAAGGTACAATCTCAGATCAGATTTTTTTGGCCTGTAAACGTATTTTAATAATGCAAACATTGGGAAAACCACAAGAAAACGGAAAGAAAAACGTAAAGAAGAAGAAGAATCGGCAAAAGTGAAAGAAAAAATATCAAATAGAGAGAAGACACAGAGAAAATTCGAAAAACAAAAGCTCGAAGCGCACTTTTGGCTGCTGCGACTGTCAAGCCAAATGCACAGAGACAAAGGCTAAAAAGTGGGGAAAAGGGCTGGAAAAGGGGTGAAAAAGTGGGAAAAATGGAAAAAGAAAGGGGGGTAAAATGAGGGGTCTGAGAATAGTGGAGGTCAGCGTGGGGTTTGGGCTTAGGGGGGTTTGTGCTAAGAGCCACCAGCTGAGGTGGAAATGTTGCCAGCCATGTTGCACGTTTTGGCAAAAAAAAAAAGGAATTTAAACACTTTTAAGAGTCGACCAGGGGATATCCCATTTAATATATAAATTTATTATTTTATTTAAAAAACAGTATTTTTAAAAAGCCTAAAAACTTAATAGAGGTAATTGCTTATAGAAAGGGTTTTTTAAAACCATTTCAAAGTGCGCCTAAAAGTCTGCAATAAAATGTGTAGGTACCAAATTCAGTGAAATATATATTTTGTTAAGATTTACTATCTTAAAGGATTTTTTTTTAAGGATTTTCCAAAGCCTTATAATAATATAAATCATCTCCAACTAACTTTTTAGGCTTTTAGGCTTTATTTAAATGCATTTTTATATATTTATTTTAAAAATACAAATGCTTTAAAAAGACCTTTTAATACGATTTTTTATTAGAACTGAAATTAGTAGCTAAAATTTGGTAAAATCAATTTGAAAACTTAAAAAATGAGTTACATTTCCAACCAATATACATTAAATTACACATATTCTATGACCTCCATTGGCTGCCCACTGTGTGGCAGTGGCAGTGGCTTTCGTTGTCCTGCGGTCTCTGCGTCCAAAAAGCAATGTTGGTAACAATGCGCTGCAATATTTTCAAGGTCTCCGAACTGCGGCAGGAGTAAATCATAGGCACACAAAGACAAAGGCAGCTGCAGAGTCAAGGAGGTAGTGCCTCAGATAGAGAAGGGCTAAGGACAAATCTTGTGGTCGGTCTGCTGAACCCAGCTGCCTCAAGGCTCCAGGAGAAGAGACTCCAAAACGAGACTAACGAAACTAAATCAAAGCAAAAGTCTGGCAAATTAAATAATCAAAAACAATTGCTGGAGACGAGGGCGCAAATTGGATTACGTGTAGATTGGTTAAGAAGCCGCAAAACACAAAGAGACGCAGCTGAATATACTAGTGCCTCTGTGTATATATACCTATATAAATCT